GGTCTAAATGTGAAAGTGATGCTTTGCAGTTCAACTTTTTCTGGAGTGGTGATTAACTGACCGTCTCTTGTCCAATGTCTCTGTGCAGAGGCAGGTTGAGGTGCGGGCCAGCCAGAGAGGGGTTAATTAAAGGCTGTAGGATGACTGGCAGAAGAGACAGGGGCTCATCGCTGGGTCAGAACTGAGTTGAATCTTGACCTGGTTCTTATCTTGGGTACATGAAATGCATTCTTCATCCTCTCTAAGCTTCAGCTCTCTATCAGTGTAACCAAGATCACAAGACTTTTGGTGCAGTGTGGCTGTGTAGCCCATGAGAGGAACACAGGGAGGTACTGATTACTGTAGCGTTAAGATTTAGGAATCCTGGGATAGGCCTGGGCCATACCTTCGTCTTGATCTTACTTACTTCTTACTTTCTTCCCTCCGATTGAGATGACATCTGACAGGCCACTAGACAGACTCCCTTGGTGAGAGCAGCTAGGTTCAGAAGTCTACAATGGGATCATTCATTTCTGTATATGCAGGCTACTGAGTCCTGCTGTGGGCCTGATTGCAGAAAGACTGGACCCAATAGTACATTTGTTTTCTCAAAAACGGTGAAAAGAAAATCCTTGCTTCTCAAACAAACACATCTGAGATTCAATCCCGGCCATACCTTTTCCTAGTTTCATGGTCTTGAGCAAGCTACTAATTTTGCTACGCCGTGGTTCTCATCGGTTTAAATGGGCGTAGCGATATTTGCTCCATACTTTGGAGGATTTGGGGAGATGAAGTATACAAAGCATCATTGATTGTGTCTGACAGTGTAGATAGTTATTAGCCAATTAAATTTGCTTACTTTATAATTATCTGCTGACTAATGAGAGGAAATAACAGGGTACTATTTCCAGACCATAATACAATGGACGTAATATGTGGAGAGAGACATAGAAAACATTAGTTACATAAATATGAATACAATATTTATACTATAATAATTTTAAAAACTTTTTAAATGAGGCAAATAAAAAGGTTATTCACCCCTTTCTTTTCTTTTTCTCCTTCTTCTTGTTCTTGTTCTTTTTTTTTTTTTTTTAGAGACAGAGTCTCACTCGGCTGCCTAGGTTGGAATGCAGTGGCATAATCATGGTTCACTACAGCCTCGCCCTCCTGGGCTCAGGTAATCCTCCTGCCTCAGCCTCTAAACTAGTTGGGACTATAGGCACACACCACTATGCCCAACAAATTTTTGATATTTTTTTTATAGAGACAAGGTTTTGCTATATTATACAGGTTCGTCTTGAACTCCTAACCTCAAACAATCCTCCCTCCTCAGTCTCCCAAAGTGCTGAGATCACAGGTGGGAGCCACCCCACCTGATCCACTCCTTTCTTTTTCAATGAGGACATTGGTTCTAGTAGAAGCATTTTAGTCCTGTGTCTGAAGAACCAGGAATTTTCATGGGATGGTAAAGACAGTCTCTATATACTAGCCTGAAAATAGTCACAGAAAAACTCATTATCAACTTTTATTTCCTATGATACCCCAGATGTACAGCACTGAGCAGTTTTTTTGCCTTAATGTAAGAAATGTTAAATGTTTGAATTGCTGGAACAAATAGTCTCCAGTGGCAATCGGATCCTGTCGTTCTTTGATGTTAAACCTTTCTTGGGAACACTGAAATCTGCTTGCAGAAAATAGAACTCCTTAGCGTGGCAGTTTATACTATGACTCCCTCTCCCACTCACCTGGTCTTCTTGCCTCTTTTGACCAACTTTTTGATATTTCATGTACATGCAGCTACTTACTTGATGGTTTGTCTCACAGCCATGCCTCTGCACGTACAGTTTCCACTACTTGCAATGCCTTTGCTCAGACTTTCTTGGCTAAGCCATAAGCAATACTTTCCCCTGGAAATCCAAGCTGTCAGGTAACCCTCACACGGTTTCCACAAGAGCCTGTGTGGACCCTCATCATAACCCTTCTGCTTCTTTCATTGTCCCCTACGGGGCTGAACTCACATGGAACTCAGGAAGCAGGTCCGACTCTTACTCATCATTGTTTTCTTATTTACAAAAAAGACTGATAGTCCTCTTATGAAGTGCTGATGACAGAGTTGCAGACACTGCTCATTGACAGAAAATCCCAATCAGGGCAAGATGTACTCGCTCAGCAAAGCGCAAGCTATGAACCGGGCAGAGCAGATTTGCATCTTGCAATCCATTTGCACAGGATGTATCACGTGTACAAGTGAATCTGGTGAATGAATGAAAGCTCTACTGTGCAATAACTGTGGCATGCTGACTCCTGTTTGTTATATGGAAGTCTACCCAAGTACTGCCCTAGCTTTCTTCTGGGCCTCCAGACTTTCCTTCATGGGATTTTTACCATGTTGAGCATGAGTGGAAACTGGTTCTAGATGTGTAAATTGGGGCAGAAACTGGGAAATTAAATTAGGCTATTTGACATTAGACAGAAAAACACACAAGGAAAAGAGGTGCTGCCAATAACTCATTATTATTTTTCTTTAATTTGAGTTCAACTAGCTTGTATGCATATAGAGATATATGCAGATATGCCCAAGGTAATTCTGGAATCAAGAGGATGGGCCTGATATTTGGTATCTCATTAGACCCAGATCCAGGTGAATTTCCTGCTAGTGTAGCAAAGGTGTTTCTTATGTTAAAGCTTCCCTATCTTCCATTCTGGAGGTGTACACCACATCAAAACCTCCTGTGATGACCTGTCAATTGGCCAAAAGTCCTGTCCGCTTGGGGTGAAAAAGTAAGCCACGCAGACCCCATGTCAGAATCCAAATGCATTCTGACTGGCTCAAGTACACTCCGAATACCTCAAGGGGGTCCGTTCCTGAACAGTGGATTTTGTGGGAGGGTGACACCAGTCTCTCTATAGTAGCCTGAGAAAGATCACATCAAAACTCATTACCAATTTTTATTTCCTACCATACACCAAATGTACAGCACTGAACACAATTTTGTTGCTTTGATGTAAGAAATAGTAAGTGTTCGGAGAAACAGTATACAAACAAACTACTTCAAATTAAAAAAATGCATACATCATTGCCTTTTAGTTGTTTACAAAAGACCCGATTTACAGAATCGATCATAACATCGTTGAAAAGGAAAAAAATTCAGTGCACGTTACAAAACACATCAAGTACAAAGGAGGCAAATAAATACAAACATACTTCACAAAACATCTTGCTCAACCTATGCAAACACAAATAAATTAACCTGAAGTCATAGTAAATTAGAGTAATAAATACGTAGGTTGGTAAGAGATTTCTTTTAAATTAAATAAAATATATAACAAACCTGTTAAAATCTTTAGCAAATTAAACGTTTGTCTTTGTAATAAGTGAACGCACTCGTATGCATCTACGAAGTACCGTATAGCAAAATGTTTGCAAGTACATAACTTTAATAGAAAATTTTGTTTGGTGTCCCATTTATAATAGACAGCACATATGGTAGCTCTTTTCTTAAAGTTGATTTTTAAATAAACATCGTTCCTACCTAAGAACAGACATTTCATTTTTCACTAAACTAAGATCCAAGAGTTCAGATGAACTCCAAACCAAAGATAAATCCCACATTATGCATAACAAAGACCACAGTTTCATGGGAGTGGAATTTCTGTTGAGGATGACTTTTCATCTGTGCGGGGGAACAGTGGCAACAGTGGGATACATCAAGCCTGTGAATGCCATCACATTCGATCTAAATATCCATGAGGCTAATAAAAAATAAACACTTTTGCTATAGCACAGACAATTAAGCCCACACGAAGTTCATGTGTACATTTATACAGAGGCACGTCTGCACATGAAGTGTGTGTGCACACCAAAAAGGCAGTTGAGCTGGTTGTCTATACCTCTTCCTTAAAAAAAATAAATATAAAAAAACTTTTGAAACAATGCTTAACTACTTTACAATCCCTGAAATAGACATTGCCTTTACTATAGCAACTGCTAAACTCTGATCCATTCAGAAATTCAAGATTGCAGGCTCAATTTTACGTGTGGGTGAGTGTCTGTGCGTAGAGATGTGTGTGAGTATGCCTGTGTGCGTGTGTGTGTGTGTGTGTGTGTGTGTGTGTGTGTACTTTGTAACATTTGGAGTTCTACGGCAAGAATTTTCTCAAATTGGAAGTTCTCTTGTTTCCTAAGGAGTGGGAAACCAATGTTGCCAGTGTCTGAAGTAACCAATCGGATTGGAGGAGCATTTTTTCATGTGTTAACTATATATTCCGTTCCCTTCCAGTCAACCCAGTAAGATAAATGCTATTTCAGGGGATATGGTATCTACAAAATTTTCCATTTGGATGTGTTTGTATTTGCTAAGTACAAATCTACACCAATATTGTCACTTGTATATTGTACCAACATATGGCAGGAAAGCCTGGCTGCTCACACCAAGTCTTATTTCTCGTCTTGGGATAAGAGTTGCCAACTATCGGATATGACTTGAAAAACAAACAGACAAATCTGCATCACCAAAAAAGCTTATGTCTCTTTAAAACGTTTCAAATAAATAATTCATATGAACTGAAACCGTCCAGCCAAGCCGAATACTTTGCTGATTGCTATATTTAATTATTGCTAACAAATTCCGAGCGGGCTGTTTCCCAGCACCCTGTGCTTTTGTGAGTGACGATTCCCCACTAGTGGGCACCATTTATCTTCTTATTCCTTCCATGCCGCTCACCTGACCGCAGCAAAGTCACTTCTAGATACAAAAACCAGAGGGGTGGGTGTGGGGTGAGGGTGGGGGTCGGGGGAGCGGGGAGGAGTGTGCAATCACAACCAAACTTGACCACAGTGCAGTCCTTAGACAAGGATTTCCTTCACACTCTCCTGTTTTCTCGTTTAAACCCAGCAAGATAGGTGATTTGAGAATAGCGTTTCTATCTTAAATCCTATTGGAAAATAAATTAATAAACACACTTGTAAAAATAGGGCAGGCTTCAAAATGCAGTTAAAAGATAAAAAAACTCTTTGATTAGTAATAAATAAATTATAAAAATGTCACATTTATTTTACATATACTTTACAAAAAAAGAGTGCAATGAAGAAACAAAAGGAAAAAAAACATACGAAAATAAATAAGATATAATCATTGAATGCATCGCTTTTAATCCAAAGAGTCTATCATAGTTTTTCTTTCCGTTTTTTAATGTCAGCAGGGGGGAAAAAAAATTAGTGCAATGTTGCAATTGTAAATGCGGTACGGCCACCTCCATGCCTAAGCAGGACACGAACCTCTAACAGATCCATCTGGAGTTGACTGCTGTTGGTAATTTCTGTTGCCCGGCAGCGCTGTGATCCTACACATGGATACCCTTCACTGCCTGTTTGATACTTTCCAGCAGAGCTTTGCATTCTGGGGAATAGTCCCGTTCCAGATTGCTGTACATGTCTGTGAGCGTATTTACATAGGCTTCAAAATTCTGCTCGCTGATTGGTCCCTACATGGAGACAAAACACATTGACCCAATCACAGTGGCTCAGGCCGAGGCCCAAGGAGGACCGCAGAATATCAGTAACTCAGGAGTCTGGGAAGGAAGGACGGAAGGAAGGATCCCTCTAGCTGCTGGAACTGGGGGAGAGGGGGAGAGATTGTTTGTGTTGGGATTTATCCGTTCGCTCTCTCTCCAGCAGAGCGATGTGACTTACTTGTGCAGTGTTTGGGATTAGTCGGAAGTCACATCAAGTGTATGTCCGGCTGTAGAGCTGGACTCCACACAAACTCTTCTGCTTCTCTGGGGAGGCAGCCTGGACCTCAACTACACATGCTCGGCACAAAAGAGACCTCTTGTCTGCAGAAGGTGAATGGGGGCAAGGCTGGGGAGGAAGGGTTGTTTGTACTAAGTGGTTCCTTCAACCGTATTGGGCTGGAATCGAAGGTGTGAGCAAGTTGTCCACTAAGCAGCTGTGATGGGAAGTTATCCTTTTTCATCCTCAGACACCTCTTGGCCCGTTTTTCCTTCGCAGTGCCATTGTAATATGCTTTTTTATTTCTCTGTGTCTGTGCAGGCAGAATATCAGCTTCACAAAGTCAAGATTTGTTCAGCCCTTCTTCTTCCTGTGTGTGTGTGTGTGGGTGTGTGTGTGTGTGTGTGTGTGTGTGTCCTTTGCCTAATGTGCTGCTTCAAAGAGGACACATTCCACTGGATATGTGAAAATTTTATAGAAAGGGGAAAAGGAATGAGTGTCACGACGGGAAAGCTACTCAGCTATTTTTGGTGGCTCCATCTTCCCATCTTTTTGAAAACACATGACATGTGTCTTAACTCACAAGGGAAAAAGGATTTTTGGAAGGCCTAAATATTGTTCTTGCTGCTATTCAGTAAACAAGCATTCTGAATTTGAAGATCATATGTGCTCAGCAAAGCACCCATCTAAATGATTAGCATTGTCCAATCGTGATTTTCGATTACCTTTTTGTTTTCCCCTTTGCTGTGCCTTGTGTTTCTTGGAGAATTATGTCCTTGGACTAGAAACCAGGTGGCAAAGTGGATAAGGGCCACTCTGTAGAGCCAGGCCCATCTGCCTTGTGCTAGCTTTGGAACCTTGATCAAATCATAAAAACTCTCTAACCTTAATTTTCTCAGCTATGGAACGGGAATACCAATGCTCACTCTTTAGGGCTCTGGTGAACTTCTCACATGATCAGCCATAAAAATCACCACCAGAGTGTCTTGTGGGGTAACTATACAAGAAACAAGCTGTCTTGTGAGGTAGCTATTTTTTATGACACTGTTAAAATATATATATTAAGGAATATTCATTTGAATACTTAGTTAAACAAACATTAATACAAAATATTATAATAATATTGTCTTGATACCGGCCATGGTATAATCATTTATTTTCCTTTGTGCTTATTATGACATTATTTATTTTGGGAGGGTGGGGAATTAAGAAATATATTTTGAATGGGTTAAGATGAGAGCTCCATGCTAGGAAGTTGGGTAAATTCAGGAATCTTTTTTTCATTTGTTTTAAGCAAAATCAATTGTATTTCTTCGTTATATTGCTGCTGCTTTAGACCATTTTATATATAAACTTGGCAGCTTTGGAAAACTTGTTCTGAAAGTACAGGCTCTGAGGAAGTTTAAAACATTCAACGATTCAGCCCTTCCTCTAAAGATTTGTCTATATTTGTAAATATGTAAGAAAATCTAATTTTCTATGAATTTTCAATACAGTCATGTGCTATATAACAATGCCTTGGTCAGTGACAGACCACATATGCGATGGTGGTCCCATAATATTATAATACTGTAGTTTTACTGTACCTTTTTATTTTTATGTATGTTTACACACAGAGATATGCACCATGGTGTTACAACTGCCTACGGTATTCAGTACAGTAACATGCTATACAGTTTTGTAGCCTCGGAGCAATAAGCACCACCATACAGCCTAGGTGTGTAGTCAGCTGTGCCATCTAGGTTTGTTAAGTACCCTCTGTGATGTTTGTGCAACAACAAAATCTCTTAATGATGCATCATTCAGAATGTATCCCCATCATTAAGCAATGCACGACTTTAGTTGTATATGTAAAATTCATGCTTAGGTTTTGAAAATTATGACTTACATTTGTCAGCTTTATTTTACGTAAGAGAAGCTTTAGTACAAACTTCAGTATAAAGAAAGCACCAAGTCTATTCGACATTAAACTTTTTTTTCTCCCCACAGTTCTTGTGTTCGCGGATGGTGCAAATGACTACGTCTCAGATGTTGAAAGTTATGGAATCTTCTACCCGGAAACATATTTTACATTACATTGTAAAACAAGCTTTAAATAAATCTTCATATCTAAATGACCTTGGCCTCTAAGAAAATCCTTGGCCTTAATATAATTTAAACATAGGTATCTGCCATGTTCCCAGCGAGGGAGATTATCGCAAGTCAGAATGTGGTTAAATGTGGTTGCTGTGACTACTGACAGGTCTCCTCAAAGCAAAGCACCTCTAAGTGGCAGCCCCGTGGGTAACTGACAGTGGCACTGCAGACACTTGCAACAGAAGAGCAAAATGCTCGCCTTGGACTTACCATCTGTGGAAGCTGGATATCGGCAAGGCTTGAAATGAGAGCTTGGCTCAGACCTGCCAGCTCCTTCAGCAGACTTTCATTGTTCTGCTCTATGAGTTTGTTCTCCTCCTCTATCGTCTTTAAGTTGCTCTCCATGGACGTGATCTAAAATGGAAACCACTTGGGAATATGAGAGTGGGGTCTGGAAGGAGTACCAAGGGCCTCTCTCTGAAGGAAAACGCATCAGCTCAATCTCAACGCCCAGGGACACGCGTGCAGCGACTTCTCCGCACAGAATTGCATCCCCACTGGAGTGCTCAAACCACATTCCCAGATTTGCATTGCCAGTCCAGACCTCTCCGTGAATTTCAGACTCGACTGCTTCACGTGGCTGTATGATGAATACCTCGAAGTCAACATGCCCCAAAACAAACCCTCACAGTTTCCCCAAACCTGCTTCTTCTGACCCCCTCCTTTCCGGCTGATGGCAACCCCACTGCAGCTCAGCCTTCCACACACCTCCCCCGTCTCCCCAGCTCTCTTTCTCAGATCCACAGGAAACCTTCCAAATATGCAGGATGGGACCACTGTCTCCACCTGCACTACTGCCACCTGGGTCCAGCCACCGGCATGACTGAGCCCAGTTTAATCCTTATTGTGAGTGGCCCTGTGTCTGCCATTACCCCATGCATCCCTTCTGGGCCCTTCCTCAACGCAGCCACCAGAACAAGTCTCTTAAAATCCAGGTTGGGGTGTAAGTCAGATAGGATCGTCTTATCCTTTGGCTCAAAACTGTACAACGGTTCTGCACTGATTTAGAATAAAAACCAGGGTCTTTAAGGGACCTGGGACACTCGTTGCCTCATGCCTTCTTTGCTATTTCTTAAGTCTTCGAGCCTTCTCGTGGTCAGGGCTTTGGCACTTACTGTTTCTTTTTTCTCCTTGAAACACTCGTCCCCCTCACTTCCTTGGCTAACTCCTTCACTCCTCAAGTCTTTGCCCTTCCTTTTTCCTGGGTCCTGTTCATCCTATTTCTCCTTCCCATTCTAGCACAGAACACTCTTGATTATCTGTGATTTTTTTGTTCACTGTCTGCCTCCTCATTCTAGATATTAAGCCCCATGAGGGCAGAGGCCTTGTGTTCTTTACTAATGGCTCCCAAGAGGAATTTGCTTGATTTCTGATCCAAAGCATCAAGTTCTTTCTGTGGCCGGGTTGGCCTTAGTGAAAGATTGTGACCATGGGGGCGCTGAGTCAGGAAACTAAAACCGCATTTCAGATAGATTAGAATCCTTTCTCTTAAACTGCTGTGGGTTAGGACCTCTGAGAGAGCCAGTAGCCACAGGGACATAAAAACACTATATTGTAGGAGAGAAGAGCCTATGCTTTGTCTCATTCTTTTCCTGCTGACCTCTTGCAAAAGAGTTATGATTAATGCTCAAAAATTTTGAACTGAACAGTTGATTTGCAAGGAATGGGAGAGACAGTACAAAGGAGAATGTAGAATTGAGAAATTTCTTGGGTTTGGGGGAAAAATAATTTGTCTAAGAAAAGGGACAGTAAAATTTGTTTCTCACAAATATTGGCACAATGGGAAGTAATCCAGAAAAAATTAAATTAGAAGGTTGCTGTGTTTTACTTGACTTTTGAATAAAACTAAGGACTCTTATCTTCTTATTGCATTTTGTTTCTAAAATACCACATGTTGTACAGACAACTGAATTTTGTAGGATGATCTGTTTTATTTGCTTATAAAGCCTCTGATGCAACCAGGGAAAAAAGCATGAGGGACTTTGCCCACAGCTCCCAAATCAATGATGGTCCGGGATGATCCACTTTTTCAGGATTTGACAATAACAGTGTCATGGAAAAACTCTCAGTGTATTCACTCTTAGTTATCAGTGTCTTTTCAGACACAAGGTTTACAAAGTTCAGCGTTTTGTTTCCATTAAGATTATGATTGCTTGAAGGTAATGAGTTATTATTTTTTTACCTGGGTTTGAAGTTTCATCATATCTGCTTCAATTTTAAGGTTGGATTCGTTCAGTTCCTTTATTTCTTCATCCAAATGTCTAATTTCTTCATCACTCTCTATACCTATAAAAAGTCAGACTATCTTAGCTTAACCTGAAAGTATGAGAACACGTATGAGTCATTCTGTGTTTTAATGTGTGGTTTGCTAGTAGAGAGATGAGACTTTCATTTGAAGAATTTTTACCAGAACCATATATATCTAGGAAAAAGGGGGTAAGAAGAATTATGGGATTTAGTTCTTTTGTAAGAAAGAAGAGAATGAGTAGAGGAGTGCCACCATTGCATGTAGCTCAGTAACGTCCCAGGGCTGCTGCCAGACACAGTGGCAAGTGTGGTTTCATTGACACCTTGCTATATCCTAGGGGGCACACTCTGTCACACCCTCTTCCCGCTGCCCCTCAGAGAGGTGAATGAGGCCTCAGAAATCCCTGAAAGATGATAAATGACCTGCCTGAGCTCAAGTTCACAGGCAGAACGGCATTCTGTTGTACACAGTGCTGCAACGACAGCTTTATGCCGTACAACCAAGAATCTGTTGAGTGAGACCTTAAGACCCATGACTAGTGGCAGACATGCTGCTGACTGGTGAGTTAGAGGTAAGCGACCCCAGGTCTCCATAAAGACCTGGACAAGGAGCAAATGCAATTTAGGGTGAAGAACATCAGCTTTGGAGTTTGCATGCTAGCCTTGACTGTTGTTCTTGAGCTTGGGCAATTTACTTAACTTCTTGGAATCTTAGTTCCCGCTTTTGTAAAATAGGTGTAATATCTATGTTGTGAGAATAAGTGCAATAAAACGTAGAGTGCTGAACACATAGGAGGTTCTCCGTGAGTGGGAGTTATTTTCCCATGATTGTCTTTTATAGAAAAACTGTGACTACATTGAAAAGACTTTAAGAAAGGTCAGGCTCGGTGGCTCAGCCTGGCATCCTCGCGCTTTGGGAGGCCGAGGTGAGTGGAACCCTGAGCCCGTGGGTTCGAGACCAGCCTGGGCAACTTGGTGAGACTTGGTCCCTACAACAAATCAAAAAGTAACTAGGCGTGGTAGCACACACCTGTAGCTCTGGCTACATGGAAGGCTGAGGCGGAAGGATCGCCGGAGCCCAGCAGGTGAGTGTGGCCACTGCACTCCAGCCTGGGGGATGGAGTGACTCCAACTCAAAAAAAAAAAAAAAGACTTTAAGAAGCTGGGGAAGGTAGTCAACATGAAGAATGCAGAAGCAAGGTTGAAGGTCATTTCAATGGCCCAGAAGAATGAGTCTGACCCAGAGTTGACAATGAAGAGGAATAAATGTGAACCTCTGCAGTTTGACTCAATAAGAGCAATTTCATGAGACTGGGCTCTATACTTTCTGTGCAACTACTTTGGAAAATAGTTTATTGCCTGCTGAAGGTGAACGCTCACATTCTGTATGACCTTACAATTCCATTCTGAAACACACACTGAAACAAACAGCTGCACACAGGAGCATGCCCAAGATGTATGTGGTAGTATTGTTTTCTTTTTCTTTTTTTTTTAGTGGAAGTCTCACTCTGTCACCCAGGCTGGAGTGCAGTGGCACGCTCATGGCCACCAGAGCCTCAAACTGCTAGGCTCAGGCAATCCTTCTGCCTCAGCTTTCCAAGTAGCTGGAACTACAGGCACACGCCACCACACCCAGCTAATTTTTGATTTATTGAAGAGATGAGGTCTTGCCATGTTGCCCAGACTGGTCTTGAACTTGTGGACTCAGGCAACCCTCTCACCTCGGCCTCCCAAAGCACTGGGATTACAGGCGTGAGCCACCGTGCCTGGCAGTATTGCTTTCAAAAACACAACCCTAAGACAAGTCACACGCCCCCCAAAACAACATATATGACTCTGTCGTCATACAGGTAATGCGAAGCAAAAAAGGAAGCCCTGAAAGTTATAGCACATAAAACAAGATCAAACAGGTAACTATTTGGAGGTATTTACTAATTTATTACTTATGACTCACTACTAAATAAAAGTGGGCCATACATAGACCAATGAAGAGAGGAAAGTCACGAGACTGACCTAAATTGGCCAGGTAGGGTGACTCACACCTGTCATCCCAGTGCTTTGGGAGGCTGTAGTGAGAGGGTCCCTTGAGGCTAGGAGTTTCAGATCAGTCTGGGCAACACAGCAAGATCCTGTCTTCATAAAAAATTTTTAAAAAATTAACTGGGCATAGTGTGTGCTACCCAGCTACTTAGGAGGCTGAGGTGGGAGGACTGTTTAAGCCCAGGAGTTCGAGACTGCAATGAGCTATCATCATGTCACTGCACTCCAGACTGGCTGGATTAAAAACAATAATAATAATAATAATAAAATAAAAAAAGATTGGCTCAACTCTGGACTGAGACTTAATGAAAACAAAACAAAACAAATCAACAACTAAGATCTAGCTGTATTAGTAGCTGGATCAACTTGAATGTAGATCAAATGTGGGACACAGCTACTCAGAAAACAACCCACAGCTACTTGGGGCCACACTATTGAAACTATAGTATCTGGGACACAGGATCCATTCTACACTGGCTCACTGTGTTTGGAGAACGGCACTGCATTTCTTTTCTTTTTTGGGGGGGGGGAGTTGGAGTCTCACTCTGTTGCCCAGACTGGAGTGCAGTGGCCGCTCCCGGCCACCACAGCCTCAACCTGCTGGGCTCCGGCAATCCTTCCGCCTCAGCCTTTCAAGTAGCTGGAACTACAAGCACGCACTACCACGTCCGGCTAGTTTTTTTTATTTATTGTAGAGATGAGGTCTCGCCAAGTTGCCCAGCCGGGTCTTGAACCCACGGGCACAGGCAATCCACTCACCTCAGCCTCCCAAAGGTGCGGGATTACAGGCTGAGCCACCGAGCCCGGCTACATTTCTGAACACCATCCCTTACTGGCTGATGCGCTGGTAAGAGGAACCTTCTGTCAGACAGCTGATAGGTAAGAGCCAGGAAAGAAACATGAAATATATTTGGATTTTCTACTAAACCAGTATTTGGAATGCTATCAGCGACTGGAATTTTTTGTGCTTTGAGCAAAAGATGCTCTCTTTGACATACTGCTTTTTCTTTCTGTCTTTCGGCAGTAATATTTCGTTTTAGGGAGTGGTGTTTTCTTACATAATATCTACCAAACGACATCAAGGGGGCACCTGCAAATTACGAGGCGCTATGAAGGAAACACTCAGGGTGCTGTGAGGCCCCTCGCTGGAGAAGACACACTTGCTCTGAGACTTTAAAGGTAAGAAGGGGCTGGGCTCGGTGGCTCAGCCTGTCATCCCAGCACTTTGGGAGGTCGAGGAGAGTGGATTGCCTGAGCCCACAAGCTCGAGACCCACCCGGGCAACTTGGCGAGACCGCGTCTCTACAATCAACTCAAAATGAGCCGGGCATGGTGGCATGCTCCTGTAGTTCCAACTACTCGAAAGGCTGAGGCGGAAGGATCGCCGGAGCCCAGCAGGTCGAGGCTGCGGTGGCCGGGAGCGACCACTGCACTCTAGTCTGGGCAACAGAGTGAGACTCCAACTCAAAAAAATAAAAAACAAAAAAGGTAAGAAGGAGGCAGGACTGTGAAAAAACCGATGAGATGGACATTCCAGATGAAGGAGGAAGCAGAGAGCACAAAGGCCTGGGGGGAAGGAAGCAGGTGCTCTGGGGACACACAGGGGAACTGAGGACAGCAGGTCATGGGGGCCTCACAGAGCCCCGCGGTGTATCCCGAGGGCAGCAGGAGCAAGGGAAGGGTTTTAGGCAAGCAACTTGGAGCGATCCGGTTGACTTTTCAAAAACATAACTTAGATTTTTGAGCAGTGAAGAGATTGAAGGTGAGAATCGAAGCCAAGAGACTCGCCTGTATATTATTGCTGGAGTTCTGTTAGGTCTGGGACCCTTGCTCATGGCAGGGGAGTATTGAGTAAAGAGAAGAGAAGAGAGACAGAGAGAGACTCAAGATGTAACCTGTAGGCAGAACTTGCAGGCCTTTTGATGCATTGGATGCAGGGGATGAAAGGAGAAGGCTGTCAGATGCTTACTTGTTTCTGCTGGAGCAGGCAGGTCACTACAGGGCTGTCTCTGTGATGGGGAGGGCTGGAGGGCAGCAACTTGCAGTAGGAGAACGACATGTTCAATTTTGGCTAAGTTACAGATGCTCGTAAGAAGCTGTTTAAGTGACAGCCTGGGTTCTTGGTACCAGGATTTAGTGAGGACGATGCTTCTCTGTTGCCTGATGTTCATGAGAACACCTCAGCCTCTTAATTAAGGTGGCTCATTTGGAAGACGCCTCGTTACAAAAGAGGCCTGGAGCTTATGGGGAAGGTACAATCATAAGCTGGGACCTCAAAACAGAAACATAATCATAGGATCTAATATGGAACACGGTCTTTAAGAGCTTTCTGTCTTCCTCAGTAAAGCATTTTACCATTGAGGGAAGGTTGAGAGCATGCAATAGATTTTGTATTTCATTCTGCACTTTCAAATATTAACTCATTTGACCCTTGTTTAAAAAAGAAAGCCTCATAAGGTAGAAACACTTCTTATCTCAATTTATGGATGGGAAAACCAAGGTATAAAGTAAGTGGCACAGCTGGAATTCAAACAAGCTTTCTGGTTCCAGAATATTCTCTTAACCATTAAAGTGTTACCTTTATTCACAGATATTTAATCTGTTTAGGAAGTAAAAAGTGTGCGAGGATGTTTATAGACACACTTCTAGTAGAATGTTGAACTAATTAGGCATTGCTGCTGATCAAGGAAATCATGTAAATTTCCACTAAATATTTTATTTAGCTATTTAACAATGCTGTTTCTTTATAGAGTTCACCTATTTAAAAACAAGAAAATATGCTTTCTTTTCATTCTATAGTTCTAATTGTTATTGATATTAACCTGGGATTAATTTTCATAACTTGAAATTATATAATTTATAATAGCATTGTATTTAAATTCTGTATAATAATACAAGTAATATGTCCCTTGAATATAGCAGGTGTACTCAACTTATAAGGGGCTTTAAGTACTGTAGTCATTTTTTTACACAAATGAAACAATTATATTTCAAACAAATTCTGTTTCTTAGTGAGTGAAACTTCATTTTAAAATTAGATTTCAGACTAAAATCTTACTTTTTTTAATTAAGAGAAAATAAAATGTAAACCTGACTAGATTCTAAAGAAGTGAGAAGAGCTAATATCCAGAAAGAAATGAAGCATCATACTATTTAAAACACAGTATTTTGCCAAATGGGAAGACCTAGAAGAATCTACGAAATGCAAGACTACGTCCATAGATCAACTATCATAACTTTCACTCGTCCTCAAAAGTACAGAGGGACTAGCATTCCTTCTTAGTTAACTTAATTTTAAGGTCTTGAAAAAAAGGTCTTAAAGGTAAAGGGCTTAAAAAAAATCAATGTTGCAATTTAATTATGGCAAGAAACTTAAGATCTATTCATTTAAAATTAATGTAAACTTTTTTTGGCGTAGACCTTCCATGTTTGAACTGGTTTGTAGGGTAATATTCCCCTAAAATAGTACCTAATTCAACTAATTGCACGGATGATTTGTACATAGTTTAACTTGACATAGTACGCTAAGGCTAAAATTGTACACACTTCACACTTCATTGCAATTTTATTAAAGTTTTTCTGTTTGCTTGCTTTTTGTTTTATGACTGAGGGAGTGCTAAGTTAGATAATCCACAAAACAATTACTGTGGCTGGGCCCCAAGGTAAGGGACCGTGGGTTGGAGTGTTGTTAGAGCAGATTCCGAATCATTTTAGGTCATTTTTGTGCCTCAACACATCACTGATCTGAACTCAGGTGGGCTTTTTTCTCATGCAGATTCACTAAAGCTCCTTAAGCTGTGTAGAGGACCAGCTCCTTGGATTGTAAAGCATGTACTTTTCTGGTTACCGGGCCACCTAGAATGATTGCACCTGACATTTCTCAATGTGTTCAACACATCTTTTTTTTTTTTGAGTTGGAGTCTCACTCAGTTGCCCAGACTGGAGTGCAGTGGCTGCTCCTGGCCACCGCTGCCTCAACCTGCTGGGCGCTGGCGATCCTTCCGCCTCAGCCTTCCGAGTAGCTGGAACTACAGGCGTGCACAACCACGCCCGGCTGATTTTTTGATTTATTGTCGAGATGAGGTCTCGCTGCCCAGGCGGGTCTCGAACCCACGGGCTCGGGTCATCCACTCACCTCGGCCTCCCAAAGGCGCGGGATGACAGGCTGAGCCACCGAGCCCGGCGTTCAACACATCTTACTGCTGTTCTTCATCCTTCGAAAGCTCAACTGAAGGTGCTAGATTTAAAAGGACCCTTTGAAGGGTGTGTGCTCAGTCCCAGCTGCTCTGAGTGACTGTGAAAGTCTTGTGGGTTCAGACAGACCAGTAGGGTGTGTGCCTAACCCAAAGCACCGGGGCCCTGTAAAGGTTCATTGAGTTTTGATGTAATGCCAATGGCTCACTGTTCTGCTTTTATCTTTCTTAGGAGCAGCCTTGCGATTTATAGTCTGTTTAGAGTACCGATGTGATTGGTGTTCTCATCATTAGAATTCACAGGAGATATTTTCTTCATGCACTCAGTTCCAGAAAAAGTTTTGTTCTGACTTTACTAGCGTGATTCTCATGGTGATTACATCCTGGCTTCTAAAAAGTGGAGTCAGATCTGTGCTCTCAGTGTGAAATGGTTGGCTTTCACTTTTTAAAGCAGCCTCAGGCTTGCTCCATCTTGCTTTCTTACCTTGACTTTCCTTAGTCCATTTTGTGAATTAACTTTTTAAGTAGTTTTCTTTTACTATGTATATAATACATATAAGTATATATATAAGTGCAAAGCTAGATAGCTTTGCCCCTCCTACACTCCATGTCTTTTTTTTTTCTGAGCTGGAGTCTCTTCCATTGCCCAGGCTGGAGTGCAATGACATGAATGATCAGTGCTCGTCTAAGACTCGACCTCGTGGGCTCAGATGATCCTTCCCCTTCAGCCTCCCGAGTAGCTGGGAATACAGGTGTGTGCCACCATGCCTGGCAATTTAAAAAATTTTTTATAGAGATGGGGTCTCACTGTGTTGCTCAGTTTGGTCTTGAACTCTTAGGCTCAAGCAGTTCTCTCTCTTCCGTCTCCCAGAGGGCTGGGATTACAGGTGTGAGCCACCGCGCCTGGCCCCACTCCCTACTCTTTAAATACTATTTGAAATAAGGTGATATATACATAAATGCACATTAAATTGACCCAATTTCACTGTACATAGACTGAGGCATTTGAGGGGTGGGAGTAATTCCAAGGAGCAGTCGGGGACAAGCTCTTTGCCTGAGCACGTGGTTGTTGGAAAGAACAGAGGGCCACAGCCTGTCCCCAACACCCAGGGCTTTGTTCCCACTCTACATACACACTACCCTCCTTCGGCGCTTAGCAGTGGGTGCCCACGGAGGAGAAGCAGCCCTGCAAGGGACTGGTTTAAATCAAGCAGATGCAGAACTCAGAAGGGAAGCAGCAAGTGGTTCAAGAGTGCTTTCCTTCCCTTGGGGAGTGCACATCTTTTTTTTTTTTTTTTTAAATTAAAACCACACACACATTAAAAAGACTGAGCAACGCTTTTAGAGAAAGAGAATATTAGCAGAAGTCCCAGTCTTAGATCTAATCATGTGCCAAAGACACCATTTCATAAAGTCTCCAGAGCAAAAGAATTGCTCAGCCATTGTGTTTCAGATGCTTTAGAATGATCACCCATGGAAAACAAAACAGGCCCCAGATAGGGTTGATTAGAAATCTCAAGAAGAGCACTCAAGACTCAAAGGGAAACTGGAGGATCCCTACAGACAGCTCAGAAACTGACTTTGAGAAGAGGTTGACACCAAGAAAGGATGCAGGAAAATGGAGACGTTGGTACAGACATGGAGGCTGAATTCAAATCATACGGAATCTCCGTAAAAATATCATTTTGAACACAGAAGACCAAACATGAAGGATTCACATATAGACCCTAGGAACTGTCTTTCCCGAAATTTCAAAGGCACTTATGCCAGTAAAACACACACACATACACCCGCACACACATACATGCACACACATACATGTACATGTACACACACTCAGGTACACACACACAAGCCTTAAGGACACGACTTCTGCCAATCTGGCTTAATCCATTGTATACCATTACCTGACTTTCTCTGTTGGAGGTCATTATTAAAAAACCAGAAATAGGCTGTGCGCAGTGGCTCAACCTGAAATGCCAGCACTTTGGGAGGCTGAGGCGAGAGGATTGCCTGAACCTGGGGGTTCAAGACCAACCTAGGCAACTTGGTGAGACCTCATCTCTACAATAAATAAAATAAGCCAGGCATGGTAACACACATCTGTAGTTCCAGCTACTTGGAAGGCTGAGCTGGAAGGATCACCTAAATCCAGCAGGTCGAGGCTGCGGTGGCTGTGAGTGTGCCACTGCACTCCAGCCTGGGCAACAGAGTGAGATTACAAGTCAAAAACAAACAAAACAGAACAAAACAAAAATACCCAAGAAACAAACCAAAAAATTGTTTTTAAAATAAAGTTGTAGTTTTAGTTCAAGTCTGAAGACACCATTCTTCTTATATGTTAAAATTACACTTCCCAAAGAAAGTATACTTTGACCCATGGAACCCTTTGGGGAGCTATAGTTTCGACCCGAAGGGAGATGGTGACAGCCAGCCCAAGCTCTTACCCCCGGTTGCTTTGAGCTTGATGGTCATGAGTTCTTCAGAGACTTTGCCTTTTTTGATAGCTTGTGCATTGAGAGGACATCCAGATAAGCTGCAAAAATAGAAATTACACTGATGTGTGAAATGTATATTATTTCCTGTAAAAATTAAAATATATGATTCACTTCCTACTATTTGTGTGTTTGCATGTCTACTAATTACATTATAACCCATAGTCTCTTTGTAGGATGACAATACATATCTATTAAAGCCAAGGTGAATAATATGAAATGTTTTGTGCTTTTTTTAAAAGCAAAGTAAAAATAGTACTGCTGATACACAATCATGATTTAATTCATTTTGCTAAAACGCTATTCTTCTGCATTCACGTAAGTGCTTTTGTTGAGGGCAGATGATTTTATTTTCTGTAAACATGAAAATGTTATGAGTAAGAATTGTTCCCATTTAGTAAAAATTCCATGAATAGTGAAGTAGAATCCAGTTCTAGAATCTAGTTCACAAAGTGTATAAAGTGTCTACAGAAAGACTCAAAATTAACACACATGGAAGAAAGCACCCTGCTCCATGCCCCCAAAGCAAATTCGGTTTGGTTGTGGAAAAGTTTCTACTTTTCTCTTTAACTTTTTTTTTTTTGGAGTTGGAGTTGGAGTCTCACTCTGTCACCCAGACTGGAGTGCAATGGTGGCTCCCGGCCACCGCAGCCTCGACCTGCTGGGCTCTGGCGGTCCTTCTGCCTCAGCCTTCCGAGTAGCTGGAACTACAGGTGCGCGCTACCATGCCCGGCTGATTTTTTGATTTATTGTAAAGATGAGGTCTCACTGCCCAGGCGGGTCTCGAACCCGCAGGCTCAGGCAATCCACTCACCTCAGCCTCCCAAAGGCGCGGGATTACAGGCTGAGCCACCGAGCCTGGCTCTCTTTAACTCTTGAAACATTGTTTTTCATGAAATAATCTCTACCCTGAACGGAGAATGACAAGAGTCTCTACAAGTATATTCAGATGCAATCACTGCAGAGGCAGGCTCTTATTCTGCAGTGGTGTTGGTAACCCTTTTCATGTAACAGTTGCACTCTTCAGCAGGGTTTCTTTCCCTTGATGTCATCTGTTTTATTTAAATTGCACCACTGTGATAATAACAGCATTAAACAAAACTTGTTTTCCATCTAATTATTTTGTTATCTAATTTTGTTGTTCTAAGCAGCCATTAATTATTTTGCAATTTTGTTGTATTTTTGTAGAAACAATTTTTCAGTCAAAATAAAAAGCATCACAATCAGCCATTTAAAATATTTTTTCCCACAGAAGTTTAGTTACAGATCATCTATAAAACAATACTTCACCCTGATGTTTGAGACACTTGGCAAAGTGAAAGAAAATATTTCTGAAACAAAGCCCTTAATAAATGTTTGCTAAATTATTGCATTTTTTTGAGAATACTAAATTATTCTACATTAAGAATCTATAATATATAAAAATAATACATAAGTAATATTGTATATTAAGATAAGTGTATGCAGTTTGCATAAATTTGATAAGATATGAATTATTTTATGCAGAAAAAGAAAATACTGAAAAGCACAGACTGAACTTAGGATCTAAGTATTCTATTTTTGGAAGCTTCTTACTGTAAAGTGTGGCCTATATAAGTTTCAATTTTTTTTTATTGTGGAGAGTTTGCACAAGTCTGTCGTGTTTTATGTTGAATATTGTATTCTCAGAAAACAGTCATGACCATCTAGTGCGTAGATCAAGTATTTAAAGGTGGCCCATAGTAAGTTCATTTGTAACACCATGGATATTAATACCTCATTAGAATGTCTCTGATCCTTACCCGTGAAGGATCTACTCTATTTCTACCCAGGTGACAGTGTTGTGGAAAAGTTAATGAAGCATCCATCCATAATTATATGACTTAAGGCCAGAGAATATAATTAAGTTATGAAAGTGAGGCTTTGGTTTCAAAAATGTCATTTGATATTTTGTATTACCCAATGTAGATATTTTATATGTTCCAGGATATAGAAGACATCTTATACTTTAAAAACCGGGTGGGAAAAAATTTTAAAAGTTCCTTTTCCTTTAGAAAGTAGCGTTTAGGAGACTGAGGTGTAAACTTCAAGGCTTGGCTTCATATTGGAAAGGCAGAAAAAAATGTTCCTTATCGGTTTTGACCAAAATTGCAATTCTTTTTACGACATATCAAGCTTGTTTAAAATTATATCTTCATCTGTCTTCCTAAAGCAAAAAGATGTGACACAATTTCTGTAGTGAACATCATTGCTTACTATATATTAATGAACTTTGATAAAATTGCAAAGGTCAGGCATTAGTCACAGAATTTCTGGTCTTAAAGCTACAAATATCCATGATGACGTGTGTCTATATGTGTGTGCATGTTTTAATATACCGTTTGTCTTCTCAGATTGTACGTTTTTTCAAAGGGGAAATTTTGTCACAGATCTAAAACAAGGTTTGGAAGTATTATGTAGACACAATACTGATACAAGGCATGGGTTAACTTGTTCTTAACAATCCTATAAAGTGAGTTTTGGAATTATTCCCATTTTGGTTGAGAAGATGTCTATGCACTAGTACCTGTGACACTTCCGCTTAGGGTGTGGCCCATGTCAAGAACTCTTTCAACTCTAGGGGACGCAGGTGGGCACAGACTCCAGGGTGCCAACCCTCTGTTTAAGGGTAGTTCCATAACTTTCCTGTGCTTGTTTCCTTTTCAGTCAATTGAGATAATTATATTACCCACAGGGTTTTGTAAAGGTTTAAAGGAATAAACCACATAAGTTACTTACACCAGCATTTTCTGTGGGAGACATATATATGTCAGTTACTATTAGGTAACAAGTCATTGGAAAGAGCACCAAATAACCTCAGGGATTTCAGATTCCAAGACACAATGTATAAAAGCCAGTAGTGAGTTACATTCAAGTATATGTCATCCTGTGTATCTATGCATAGACTCAATGTAATTTTCATTAAGGGGAAAGGAAATCGCCTGTGTCAAATGTCTTCTTTGTGTCAGGCATAAGCCCGGCATTTTTTGTGACATGATTTCATTAAATTTTATGCCAAGAAAAGGAAAAAAAATCATCTTAAAGAGGATACCCCAGATTAAATCCAGTCTCTTAAAGAGAAATTTTGAGTGAAAAGCACTGAAATCTGAAGTATTCACTTGTCTAAACTCTTCACTGCTTTCCTTCTCCTAGAAAATAATACCTGGACACTAATATTGTAGCCTATATTTTTCAACTCAGAATTATCATTTTTTATTGTAAAATACACAGCATGTAAACAGGTACATGTGATGTATATTTGCAGTTTTGAGAACATTCTTAAAACGAAGGCCATCCCCTTTAAAACATAGAATATGCCTTACTAAGACCTTTGAATCTCCCAGGGGTCCCTGAAAATTGGTTTCTTCTGTCCCCGAGAGATAAGAATTCACTTGAACTATAGGCTAACAACGACCTTGCTTTTAAAAATGCAATTCTGCCACGTTTTTAAAAACTTTTTGTGAACAGAAGCACTGTGTTCTGAAGTTTACCCATGGGACTGTGCCAACCTTCTGATCACCTTCTGATCACTGGGGCGGGGTAGCCCCTTTGCGCCAACAGTGCTGCTGCTTTGCCCCCTTGACTATTGATGGGCACATGGATCTTTCCAGTTTAGATATTAGAGCAACCTTGTTACAGACGTGTGCCAACAGGTCTCTGGAAGCCTGACAGCTTGTGACTGGATGCTCACGGTAGGATGCTACGCTGTGTGCGTTTGTTCATCTTTCAACTTGACTCTGTACCGGCACAAGGGGCACTGCCAGTGATTTTTCCCACCTACAGCTTATGAGAATCCCCGTGGCTCTGCGTCTTCAACAAGCGTTGGCATCCTTATTTAAAACATCTTCACAATGTTTAAAGACAACTTCATTCTTACTACCTGAGAGGTATGCTCGTCATAGTACAGCATTAGTATTTCATTAGCAGGGTCAACGTGGATATCACTGAGGTCATTACAAGAATGCCAAGCTACTGGACAGCAAATGGGCCAGGAGGCACACTTAATTTGTGACTGATACAATATATTAATAAACTTTGAATACGAAGTAATGATTCAAACTCGGAATACAACAATGTGTGCTATTGTATATGTGAACCTGCATTTGAAAACCATCAAAAAAAAAAACCCCTTGAATAATTCAAGTGCTCTCCATAAGTAGAATATACCTTTAAATAGGCAAGTTTTCTCCACTTCTATACACCTTTAAATAAGCAATTCCTGGAAGGCTTCACTTTCTGATACTATCAATATATGTCTTTAGAACGGAACAAAATTTCAAAATGCTCCAGCTTTGCTTAATTCGTGCACTTCTCATAAACACAACATTAAGCTTCCTAAAGCTTCACTGGATTTTAAACCAGTATCATGCATGGTGGCCCACAGGATTGGAAGGGAACCCCTTGACTGGAGAAATACACAGTGAATTTTCTAGATCTTTTCCTTTAGGTAAAGCTGGACTAAGATCCCTGTTGCCCACCAAAGGGTTTGGTTGAAACACATGACACTCGCTGATAAAGGAATTAAGTCATTGTGAAACTATAAAAGGGTTTCCTAAATCTCCATATCATAACACTTAGCGGTTACTGTGTCATTTATTTTCTGGCTGATGTGCATGAGTTACATCTTCCCAAATAACTACAATTTGGGCCTGAAATTGAGTCAGTTCATAAGAGGGAGGGAATGATATAAATATGTAAAGTGAAAGTTTGCAATTATATAACATAATAGAGCAGACATCACCACTTGGAACTGAAATGAACCATTAAAAGACTGAGCCATTGAAAAATCGCAGCATAAGCAATATTTTAGAATACAAAAAACCTCCACCACAAACACATGGTTTCTAGAGCACGTGAAAGTGTAGTGAGTTTTCAGAGATGGAGAAAATAACATTTTTCATTCTTCAGACTAGTCAAGTACCTATTTAGCAAGACTCAACGTTATGACGTCTGGAGTGCTAACAACCTTTCCTCTCCCCAAGGCAACCCAGGCAATAACTGATCGCAGCAACGTAATAAGAAGACAGAAAGTCAACATTACCTTCTATGGGTGACAAAAACATTATTTACATGGCCCAGCCCATTGCAGCCTGGTAAGGGACAATGTGGCAGCTCTTGCTTGTTCAGTTTCCAGGAGAGGGAGGCCCCGTTGAGAGGATTCTCCTTCTGTCTCTTGGCAGCCAGGGGACAGCCAGAAGCTGTGCGGTGGGATGTGTATTTACCTGATATGTGACCTTGACCGTCACATCCTATCACAGGACATCTAAAGAGACACAGCAGAGACTTTATCAGCTGGAAAGAAGGCAGTGACAGTTTCATACTATCGGGAGGACTATTGAAATTACAGAATTTTGAATGATGCCACTAAAATTCGCAAAACAGTATGGTATTAGTAATAATGACCTGCAGACTCTGAGCTAAAGCAGTTTTCATGTGTTATCTCACTTAGTATCCACTGCAATCCACGGGGTAGAGTGTATTATTATCTCATTTTGTAGGTGGGGAAAAATGAGGCTTACAGAGCTCAGGTAACTTGACACCCATTTTATAAGAAGTGGAGCCAAGTTCGCACCCACACTTTTTAGCTCTACAGCCAACCATGCAAGCACAATGTTACATTGCTTCCAAACGCAGACTGAGGGTAGAAAATGTTAGCCACCTTGACCAACATCCCATGGCACATGACTCATAGAACTGGAATTTTGGTTTCCAAATGTTTAAATATTGTATTTAGAACTGATGTGGAGAAAGCAATTTAAATGCATATATCACCTGAGACTTGGTGTCATACCTCAGAGAAGGAAATTCAATTTAGATACAACTTCACCTTAAAAAGATGAAAGTTTAAGGGGAACACACTGCCATATTTGGCATTCCATAGCACTTTCCCAATGCTACTTTTCTTTAAAACAATTGGAAAATGTCTGCACCATATCCCTTTTCTTTTGCATTATCAAAGAACTGTGGAAACAGCTATGAATAAGCAAAATTTTATCACACCTTCAAACAGTTTGACCCTTGCTTCAAGAGTCCTTGTGTTTAATAGGGTCCACCTTCCCTAAAGTGTTTAATAGGGTCCACCTTCCCTAAACATAAATTGATGCTCCCTTGTGGCCCAGCCAAGGTCCCTCCCATTTGACCAACAAGATATAGCTGTCCCTGATGCCTCCACGATGGCACTTACTTAAGTTCAGGGTCTTCTTTTTCTTCCTTGGTAGGGGTCATTTTGACACCACCTTTCCGTGCACGTGGGCATCCGGACAAGCTAAAATATGTACCCAACAAAGAACAAAACAAAACCATGTGATCTCTCTGACTACCACTGCTGACCAGCTGATACCCATGTTTCAGAAATGAGATCGATCAACCCTACCTCCTGTGGGAAGCGTAGTTGCCAGTCACATGCCCGGAACCGTCACACCCTGGGGTTGGACACCTGGGAGACACAGAAACAGAGGATGGGCCGAGAGGTTGTAGGGAAGGGAAGAGACACGTGATGCATTCAAGTAGAACTAAAATCAATGAGTTTGTGTGTGTGTGTGTGTGTGTGTGACTTTCTATGTGTGTGTGTGGGACTTTGCTTAAATATCATTAACTTTTGGTTAATAATCCATTAATTTTTTTAGTATCTACAACTACTGAGTGATGTTTGGTAGGCAGTTGTCTACTACATAAATACAGATTGTTGCTATAGGAGGTCTCTCTCGCTCTCTCTATATATATCTTCAATGTATTAGCAACATTTTTCTAGAAGTAAGATTTAGGGAAAACGCTTAAGAGAACCTATAATTAAGATGTGGCAATGTAGACGTTTAGAGCAATTGAGTAAGCTATTCTGACACATCTCACTTTTCAATCTACTAATTATTAGTCTCCACTTAACATTTTAATATTTTGGTCTAGAAGCGTGGCAGTCAATAACATGATTTCTAGACTCTATAATGACATCATAAATTGTACTTTACACTTTGAAAATGAGAAAAGTTGCATGTTTCATAGTTCCTTTTACTATTTCTGGTACTAAAACTCCAGTTTTTATGCTTGTTCATTATCATATCTTTTTATTCTGTAATTTTTAGATACGTTTTTAAAACAACTTAGAAAAGGAAAATACTAACAAAATATTAAGAAAATATAATATTTGAAATGTTACATGTGTTTTAGACACCAAATGCTGATTCTACTATTCACACAAATATTGTTTTACCACTAGGTATAGTAACACTCATCTTTTTCTAGCACGTTATTATTTGTAAATAAGATTAATTAGTTATGTCTAATACTATTCCTTTATCTTTTTAAATGTATGTCCTATTATATTTTTAAAAAGGTAAAAGGTAGATTATGATTGTTATTATTCTACGTGTAATAAAAGAAGATATAAAAATAAACAAATGAAGAATTTATAATAAAAGAAGATCAGAGAAGAAAAAAAGAAAATAAATAAGTAAAAGTTAATACACATGTGACTTGGAGATCTTGAAGTCTAGGTAGAAATGAGTCAAAGGGTGTCTAGCACCAAAAAGTGAAAGGCAGTTGTATTGTTCAAACTTCCCAGAAGGTAAAACATTATGCAATTTTCTTAAAATTAGGTGACAAAAATGCTTTGTCACACCTTCATGCATAGGTGTGATTTAGCACATACATTCTACAATTAACAGAAAAAAGTATTGTGTTTAACTATGACATCATTCTTTCAAAAATGATGATAAAACACAAAGTCCTAGACGCAAGTACATCGGCTAAATGAAATCACAGTGATTTAGTTTTAGTCATTCCAACTTGCGGAGAGAAAAAGTGCCTGTGTTATAACTCTGTTAGACTTGATTTGCTACTTGTTGCTGATCTCAGCGACACTGGACAAGGAGGGTATGCTCCCGACACTTACTTAAGCTCCTGAGAATTAGCAGCCATGAGGGATTTAAGAGTCTTATCCGCTAAAGGACATCCGGAAACACTAAAGAGGGGTGAGAAAAAGAAAAAGGACAAGACAAAACACAACACTGATGTATACAAATCTGACTCAGATGTCATCCTGAGTTGTGAACATATGTTAAATGGTCGGTGACTGAAAATTGAGGAAAAAATAACTGACTTGGAATCTGACTTTGCTACTCTAACCCGTCTGGGCTCATGGGCACTTTGGTTATTTCTCAGAGACTCAGAGTTGCTGTTTATCAAAAGAAAGCCTTCACCCAACAAAACTACCCAGCCTCATCATTCAGTGATGCAATGATTCCTGACACACAGAGTCTGTTCCTGTTGCATCACCAGGTGATGTTGTTTTTCCAAAGGGAGAGCAGATCATATCAATGAAGGAGGTACATGGAAAGATTAAACACCGTCTTTTGTCCTGTTTAATCTCTCTATGCTTTGACTTGTTATTTGCCCAGAATTGAGGGTGTTACTTCTCCCAGGGTAAACGGTTGATTCAAGTCACTCTGCTGTCTTTGCTTTGTTCTACGTGAGGCCTAATGCCAGACAGAACCAAAATCTGACAGGAACCCTAGTTTTTGGTTTGTAACCTGGAGCAAGAATCATGATTTCTATACCACATAACTTTATGAGAAACAAAAGAAACCAAAACCCCAACTAACTCATTCTGTTTTCTGATCCAGATAATATCTTACTAGAATGAGTGAGGCTAATATTTAAAGTAGAACAGGATGGTGAAAATCCAATTTCACGTATAGTTGTGAGGTACCTGCGATGTGAGGCATAGTTTCCTGTCACGTGGCCACTTCCGTCACATCCTGGGGTTGGACAGCTGAGCCAATAACAAAAAATATTGTTAGCGTCAAGTGCATTTCACAGATTCATTTTTGCTTGATAGATTACAAGGTCACAGCGCTGTGCTACATAAGCTGATGGTACAGGACATGAAGAAGCTAGCATACTATGGATTTATATTCAATAAGAACCAGCAGGCTACCTAAAAGAAAACTAAAATCATAGTATGATGAGGTACTTCCTTTTTATCAGTTTCAACATCACATCCAATCCTCAGATTCAAATCATATAAGAAAGCGACAATAAAATGTATGTCCTAGGTGGGTTCGGTGGCTCAGCCGGTAATCCCAGCACTTCGGGAGGCTGAGGCAAGTGGATTGCCTGAGGCTGAGGGTTCAAGACCAGCCTGGGCAACTTGGTGAGACCTCATCTCTAAAAACAAAAAAAAAGAAAGGAAATGGATATCCTAGTGATGCTGTGAGCCAGCACTCAAGGGTGTTTTATTTATTTGAAAATATATATGCTTTTCATTTCTTTGGATATATATAACTACATAACCATGCTTCACAAGGAGAGCAGGCCCTAGAAAATACTGGCACCAATTATAGGACAGATTCCAGAAAGAAATTTTTTTGAGTTTTTAAGAGCGAGGTAATCTAATAACTTTAGACACCACTGAAAATCTTTGACTGAGAGGTAAACTGATATTTTAGGTGGGAAAGTTGCTGAAGAGACAAAATGGGCAAGTTTAGTTAGTAAAACTCATGAGTGGTTTTAGTCCAAGCTTGAACACGGCAAAGTCACTTGCGAATGCGCCATTAGCCTAAGAAGAAGCTTTCAGGCCATCTGCCAAGACGCCCCTCAAAGCCCTGGGCCCGTGAGCATCATTTTCTCTTCAAACCTGGTGACGTCCTGTCCATCTTATGTGTGTTTTAAAAATAATGTGAGAAGGTAGCTATCCTTAGACGTTTCCTTCCACAATTAATAGATTCCTTGGTTTCTCAGTTATTTAATTTATTTTGATGTTGTTCAAAAGTGACTCATTTTGAGTAAACAAATTGACCCCAGCCTAGTCAGTGCTATATTTGTCAGTGTTAATGATCAAAGGAAAAAAAGATCAGTTAAATCATTCATGCATGTAATTTCCTCTGACATACTTCCTAAAGTGAGGACTTCTCCATGTCTATGTTTATGTTTACATCTATATCTGCATAAATAGATACATTTATATAATACCAAATTTCCCCTTTAAGGAATATTTGGAGATGGAGTAATAACATTCCAGTATTTTCTGAATTGCCACTTTCTAAGTTTTTTTTTTTCCCTGTGAACCATTTTCCAATCACTTTCAAGTAATCCGAAGAAACTACAAGAGTTAGAACATTTCCACCTCTCAAAGAGATGCTTGATTTTCAGGGTTTGACACAAGTTAGTTATCTATTGTTTCTTCCATCCCTCTTTCTGGATAAGAGATCAGAAAGAAAACTGCAGAAGCTATTCATGCATTAAAAAGAAGGCACGAAAAAATGAGCAATGGTAAACATTTTGACTGAGTTTTCCTGCAAGTGCCATCCAGCCAGTACCTGCAGAAAAATCTTTCCTACACATTATCCAGCTGCAGTATTTAGAGGGTGAGAGGGGTGTTTCAATTGCCTGGATTTCCATGTCAGAAACACATCGCCACCTCGCGTGCGAAAACAGCATTGCATCGTTTTATTTTATGTCTATTTTTTAATTACTACCATGAATTTTGCCAGGAGAGAGAAAGGAGTGCTAACAAAATTTAGACACCAGTTATAAATCACCTATGAAAGAGAACAATAAATATGCATTTAATTATCTAATAATGTTTTTGAAGTTTGATGATATAAAAAGATCCATCAAAAATTGGAGGCAACATTGTAGTAAGAAAAGTTTCTGTTTAGAATTTGATAGCTAGACTCAAGACCAAATCTATAGTGGAAAATCTTACATCATAATATAAGTCAATATCAGTCGAGTGATATATTCTGAGGTTTGTAAATGATAATATTAAAATGAGAAAAAGGAAACGAGTTAGTTTTCTCAGTAAGTGGCACGCAAACTCTAAGTAAATCCTAAGATAATATCCAAAGTGACAACCGAAAAATCCTACTCTGAACAAAGTTTTTGGTAAGCAATTAAGAAACAATTATCTGTTAGAAACATAAAGCAAAACATAATAAAGGCAGGATGACACCGTAAAGTAGTGAGACTTCTACAAAACAAATACACTGACACAGACACACATGTAGATAAGTGATACCCACTAAAATACTCACCCTGTCTATAAAATGTGTGAACCAGCACATCTCTGAGTGAGTAATTTTCTAGAATTCATGGCTATACTCCAAAAATCATGCAAAATATTTTTGAAGCCCTTCCTTTTTTTATATTTACCTTTGGACCAAGGAGGAGTGCCCATTACAAAATGATTACACTTCATTTTTTCTGACCCAAAATGCAATTGCAGGTTAACTGTCCATCTTTTACACTACATTTACTTTAGGATGACTTTTAGCCTATGCAACCTGACGAGACCTCGTCTCTACAATAAATCAAGAAAAATTAGCCAGCTGTTGTGGCACACACTTGCAGTTCTAGCTACTTGGAAGGCTGAGGGGGAAAGATTGCTTGAGTCCATCAGGTTGAGGCTGTGGTAGCCATGAGTGTGCCACCGCACTCCAGCCTGGGTGACAGAGTGAGACTCTGACTAAAAAAAAAGACAAAAAAATCATAGGCTACAACTTTGCCACTTTTGAAGATATTAAAAATAAATTGTGGAGAGGAAAGTCATAGGAAGATGAAAAGGCTTGAACAGCAGCTCTATGTAAGTGTAAGTGTACAACTGACTCAAACAGCCTGTTGGAGAGAAGCAGTATTCGGGTTAATTTAAATTCCAGTACATTTGGAATCATCCATCATGTTGCATCACCACCAGGCCCTGGGTGAATACTCAACTTATGAGAAAGCATGCTGTTTGAGCCAGTAATGTTTGCCTATGAAATCCTTAGGGAACGCAAAGACTATGCTTGTTTTAAGGCCACTCCCATGTCAATAGGGCAACCCAGTGCTGGACTAGGACTCATTTTTATCGAACACCTACTATGTGCAAGGCCCTGTACTTGGCACCAGCTTTTGCCATGTGGTCCCTGCTCCCAAGTCACCGTCCATGTAGTTGGAAATATCAGAGGCAGAGCAGTAGACATTACGCACCCATGACGTGGCCACGCTAGAGAACAACGACAGAGAAGAAGAACCGTCCTTCTCTCTGGGACTCTGTTCTTACTGGGAGATGCAGAAAATAGGAGGAGAAATGAACTCAAGAAAAGATTTGGAAAGGGGATGGGGGAATCAGTAACCAAAGACCTCTCGGGGAGGCGACATTTGAGAGAACTGAAGGAGGAGAGGTCTTGGGTGTAGGGGGGCATTCTGGGCACAGGGCCCTGCAACAGCAACCACCAGGTCTCACCTCTTCCTGGGGAAGTGAGGAGTCCAGAGAGGGTGGTTGGTGGGGGGGGGGAGGGGCAGAGGCCGGGGGGAAGGGAGAGCTCCTTGGCCCTGCGGGCTGGTGGATAGACATCTGGAAGTCACAGCTGGGGACAGCAGTCCGGGGGCCTTCAGCGCCAGTGAGTGTAGCTAGGAGAGGGCAGAGGTCCCAGCACTAAGCTCTGAGGTGCCCCAGTCTCCAGGGGACAGCCCCAGGTACAGGTAACGGTCTAGGAAGAGGACACAGTGTGGTGGGAGAAAAGTCCTGAGGTGAGGTGAGGTGTCCCAGATGCCAAGTGTAGAGGACAGAGGACAAAGGGGGGAGAGATCAGCTCTGTGGCAACCTGCTGCCCCTCACGTAGGAACAGGTGGATCAAGAAGCAACACCTTGAGTGTGTGGTGGGGTGGGGCGGGGGAGTCCCTGGAGAATTGTCTGGGCAAGATTCTGGGGGGAAACCGGATCACACAGTGGTGACAACTTTCTGGAGGAGTTCAGCTGTAAGAGGAAGGAGAGACAGAAAGTCCACCTGGATGTTGGATTGGGAGAGCTTTCTAAATTTTCATCAGAAAAACTTGAACATATCGACAACGAGGAAATGCAGAAGACAGGGTTCAGGCACTGGCGCCTAGGTGGAAGGGTTGCTTTTTGCTGGAATCACTCCCCTGCAGGCAGCTTTAAGTGTATCTGTGTGTGAATACCGTTGACTGATATTTAATCATTTGCATACAGGGAACAGTTCCCACGTTTCAATCGCCCACTCACTAGTGCGTGTTTAGTACTTACTGCTTTTGGATGCCCTGATCTTTAAACGCTTCTGAGTCACTGAACCCTCTGAGAATGTGATGGAAACCAGGAACTCGCTTACACAGATAACAACTTGCTTGAAGTGTTAGAAGTCCCTGGAGATAAGCCTTTGGTCTTCCGGGTCAGTAGGTATCAGGTGAAGAATTTTGGGTCAAAACATAAGCATTTCTAACTGTTTTATCGTATTTTGTTTTTCGATCGACACATTTTTAGTTCTCTTAGGGTAGGACCATGTTATGTACACTTTTTTCATAACCCTCTTAGTTTGAGCTATAGGTTCAGGCACAGGGTTAACGTTGAACTACTGATTGGCTGAAATTGCCCTAAAGTCAGTTGTATAAGCCAGGATATCATAATCCCAAGTTATAAACTTGTATCTTAATTCCAGAATCTTACAGGACATGGCATTGGGTACCACTTACGTGATTAGTTCCTTTTTGAGATCTCTTGCATGGAGCTTGGGTTTAGGGCTTGGTATAGAGGCCTCTCCAGGAAACTTTTTTTCCTCTAAATGTTCTAGAGAGCTGACTGGGTCTTTCTAGGGGGAAAAAATGCAGAAGCCATTAGAAAACCTTGAAAAGTCAACTTTATTCAAAATCATTGGGGCCAGGTTTGAGTCTTGGTTTAAAGACTTAGCTGAAATACCCCAGAGAATTTATGTACGCAATCAGCAAGATCATGAATATAAGAGTATGTTTTGATTGTTATAGACCTTAATCCTAAGTGAAAAATGAGAAGTTATAATTGATGTAAACACCTTTAAAAAGTTAACATTTTGGCAAATATGATCATAGAGGCATTACTTGAGCGATGTAATTAAGTTACTATTTTAGCATGTTTCAAATTTTATTGTACCACACATGCTTCCTAGAGAACACAGGAATAGTTAAAAAAAAAAAAAAAGCAAACCAGCAATGATAACGGCAGTAAGACAAAAGGAATACTGCAAAAATAAATCACAGAAATTTTTAAACAGGAGAGGAAAAAGTAAATTTAAGTTAACAGAGCACCTTTTCTAACATACAAATAATTAAGATCTAAATTATTTGTTTAAATAGGTAATAACTGAGGCCACAGAATGTAGGTATTTAATTTGACTTTTTCTGAATGATTTTATTTTAATTTTATTTTATTTTTCATATTGCCTACTTTTATTTTCATATTGCTTACTTTTCTCTGAAATTATCTCTTTTGTTAGGTTGGTATCTTATAACGATTTCCTCACTGGATGAAACTTTTTGTTCAATATTGCTAATTTTTATAGCCTTCTCTTAAGTTGAAAACTGACCTTGATTTCATAAGAAAGACTCACTAAACTTTTTAGGTCATTTATCTGCCAAGTGATATATCACTTCACAGATAACTAATGATAATTTTTCTTGATCATTTTACTTTCATCATCAAGTGTCTATCCCATCAATATAATACTTTCTGTCTTTACTATTAAAATCAGATGAAAGAATATAGAAAACTGTATTCTAAATTCAAAAGTAAGTACTGATCTATTTAAGATGAGCAATCTATTTTGAATTATCCAAAGTAAATGTCATTTAATTAAATTAAGTATGAGAATACTATAGCATAATGTAATTTAAATAATTCTGAATCCACATTCAAAAGCAGTAGAATACACAAAATCCTTGGGTTTTTGCAACCAAAGAAAAATACTAAATGCTGATCTAGACTATCAAGGCAAACGTAACTTCTTTCATTAATTACTTGGATAACAATTCAACCAATTATTTTACACAAGAACATACTGCAGTAAATACATTGGTAAACGGTGTCAAGTGACATTATCTTCAGATAAAATTAATAAAACCTGGTTGGACAATTTTTCTTCTTCTTATTTGTAGTGTTAAGTATCCCATTTCACTTTACAGTAAATGTTTGAAAATAGTAGCCAATGGAAATACATCATATAAAAATAAAGAGAAATATGTGCTTGATGATAATTGCATACCAGGCTGCATAAAGAAGCGCTATTTTAATGCTGACTCCATGGAACCTACAGCAAAATAGATGATTGATGCTTATCTTTTTAAAGTTTTACACTGCAAATGACTAAAACTAAACAATTCCCGATTTTAAGACCTTGAATCTGATAATTTCACCATTTATTCCATTTTGTGCTATTTGGCCAGGGTAGCATTTTCTACTACAATTTGGAAATGTCTTGGCTTTTTTTTTAACATACAAATGTTAAATTCAATATTGTCTCAATGCCGAACAGTCTTTGTTTTTCTGTTTAGATGTTGAATTTTTTTTAAATGAAAATGGCATGAAGTAAAAAGAACCAGTTTATTGTTTTCTTATGAAAAGTTAAGAACAAAGTCTCTCCAAGAAGACATGTACATTTGTAAATGACATATAAAAGTTTCCAGCTGTTTTTTTAGGGCTGATTCTATACATTATGGGAGGCAAGAGAATAGGGAATTTTGAAAGAAATGGTCGATTAGGAAATTTTAAGTTATTATTTTACTAAAATGCATCCAAAAATAATGCCTGGAAAATATATGGCATACGTGGTAATGTTTCAACAGGTAATTGTATTAGATATGACCTTTAAAATATCCCACAGCTTCTTTTAAAGCTACAGACTCATATGCATGCAATTACTTTATGAAATAACTGTCTTTTTCTCTTTTCTTTGCTCAACATTCTACCCCCTGAAAACTTGCAGAGCGCATATGTATTAAAATACAGGTGGCCATCACTAAAATAAATCTTAGATTAGTTTCGTCATGGAGGCATTTCATACCAAATGGATTCTTAAACAGCACCCAGTGTAAAATAAAGCAATAGCATTTTCGAAAATTTTTTCCTAAATGTGTCATTTTGAAAATAATGATTTTATCCTGTGGATGTGTAAGGGAGAACATAATGTATATCTGTGTGTTTAGAGAGTATACGTGTGCAGTGAAATTCCTTTAATGTACAGATGGAAGTTTATATTGATTTCAGTAAAGGCCAGGACATAATGGTAACATGAATAACAGATAATAGCATCTGGCACTCTTAACATTTTAAGCCCTGAAATCTTTGGAGAACTGACAGTTGAATGAAACTGACAGCCCTAGTTATTTCTCAACACTTTCCTTTCGAGATATTTTGAGTTTTTTCCAGATTCAGGATTTTTTCTTTTTAGGGGGCATCTGGACAGGCTATTTCACTAAGAGAGACAGACAATATTTTCTGAAAATTACCACCAAAATTAAGCAACTGTTGTGCATATGAGCTAGATAACAATGAATTAGAAATAATCACTCGATTACTGGTCGTGTGAGTATCATGTGTGGTGGGGTGTGAGGAAGGTGACAGGGAAGGATTCAGGTGGCAGCAAGATCCCACCATGTTCAGTCTTCAAACATACACAGTAGGTGATCTGGACCGCATGGAGCCATTCCAGTACAGCTTACTGGAAAGTGACAAGCATGAACCAATCCTGTAACTGGTTTTTGTGGTCACATCATGTATCCCTGCCTGGGTCGCAGAAACTTTCATCCTGCACCCTTGGAAGCACCTGATTGTTCCACCATACCTGCCACATACCATTTCTTCATCATTCTCATTTTTCTGTCCTTTTTAAGTTTCAATATTCTCTGAGCTGTCTCCATTTTTTGACAGAATTTTTTCCCTTTTCCTTCTTTCCATTTCCCCCCTGCTCCTTTTGTTTTATTTTCGGAAATCCCAGGCTCATTGCTTAGTTCCAGGAGCAACAACTTTACCTCCCTGAGCCCCAAATTTCTCTAAAAAAATCTGATAATAATTCTGTTTTTCAAGATTGTTGGAATAATGAGACAAGTTGTATAAAGATTCCCGTGTTTATCTTATCGTATGTGGTATCCTTCTGATAGCTTCTCAACAAGGGCATTTAATACAATCTTTTCAAAATAATGCCTATCAAGCATAACATTTCTCATTTCCAAGATTCAGAACAGAATGTGAAAAATACTGTCTGCTAGTAGGTTACCTTGGCACAGATGAGGGAACAAAGAACAAGGGTGAGAAACTGTACCAGGGAGTGACAATGATTCAGAAGCACTTTTATGTGTATCTCCATCAACCATAGCTTTCCCAAGCAATGAATCACCTTGTTCAGATAGCTGTGACAATAAGCATTTAGCTTAAAAAAGTATTTTGTCAACTCAAACCTAGGGTAAGTACTTTGAGTCCAAAAACTCACAAAGCATCTCCAAAGTCCTGTTTGTGACACTTAGTGATACTGAATTCCCATACATCTTACAGAATTCAGGTCTCAGAACACATAGGTTGAAGACCGTAGTAGTCAGTCTGTACTGTCATACCTTAAGTAAGTAAGGCATTCTGAAGAGAGCATAACTCTAGTCTCGAGAAACCTATTGTATGTGTGTATGTGTGTGTGTGAATTTGCAGGGAAATGAAACACGGTCACAGATCTAAATACATTAGATAAAAACATACTCTAGTTGAATCTATAAAGCTGCCAAGATGAGTCCAGATGCTTTTGGGAATTATGCAAAAAACAAGATCGGAAAGTAAAGATAAAGTATTTGTTACAGACCTCATTTTTGTCTCTCTGGATGATAAGAACTACAGCCAAGGAGGTGACAGGAGGGGGTCTCTCAGAATTTAAAGAATGCAATGTTGACATTGTTGCTGATGGCACAAAAGTATCAGACACCCTACATGAAAATGAGAACCCACTTGAGGTAAATTGTGTTAATGACTACCCAGGGTTGGATCCTTATTTCTGACACCAAGTCTGAACAGGGAACACATTGACCTTGACCCGTTTACCACATAGCCACAAGGATGAGCACAGAAAACCCAAGTGCCATTCTGCATGTGGCATTGAGATATTCCTAGAAATCAGAATGCATTGGAATTCTGATCCCGTGTGAAGCAGTTATCTTTACTTGGTAAAGCATTGTCCTTCCTGTAACATAATGACTTCTACTGAACCCACTTCCTTTAGGGGCGTAGGCCTGATGTGCCACGAACCAACTAGCGATGGGCTGGCTGGAGATTAAGCAGCCTTGTGAACTGGATGCATCTCCCTTATCAAAAGCTATCTTGTATGTCGCAGAATTGAATCCACAATTTCGATCTCATCATGCCTGTGCCTCCTAACAACCCACTTACTTCCTAGCTTGCTCCTGACTTTCGCGTTAGACAAGCTGTGCAGAATGACCGAGTCATGTGAACACGGACAAATTTTTAGATTACACAAGTAGTCAGAAGTCAGGTGAAACTTCCACTCTTTAGCACAAGTCTAAGACGGCAGTGAGGCATGGGCGTAGAGGGTAGAGACGTATGTGAGCCAGTTTGTGGTTACCACTTAAATGAGCATCTTATACGCTACAGGTGTCAGCTTCACATTTATTATAATCAAACACATTATTTTAATAAAAAGTTCTTCTAAAACAGTATTATGATAGATTCATGAAGGCAAGCCCTTGCTACTTTAAGTGAATTTAAAAAACCAAGCAGAATAAAATGGCAAAGGCCAGTATGGCAGAATCCAACCTGCCACTGCTGTTGTGTGAATCACTTCATCTTTCTGCAAGACGGCATGTGGGGTGGAAACACTGTCTCAGATTCTGGGGGAGCCTTCTAGGGGCCTGTCCCCAGCTACCCCATTCCGAGTCAGCCATTTCTTCCTCTCCACATTGTGTGCCTGCTTTACATGTTACCCTGTTTATCAAAGTATTTGTTTGCAGGTCAGTCCTCTGGGCACATGCACGGTCCAGGAGGCACACATGCACGTAGAAGTGTGTTCGATTAGTTGCTGCTTCCCCAGACCTGTCTTATGGTTTAGACTTGGAGATACTAGCAAAACTGTGCTGAAGGAAGTGGGGGGCGGGGAGGAGGAAGACAGGGAAGGAGGAGTTTGAAAAACCCAGAGCTATGATCACTACTGGGTATGCTGACGTCATGCTTTGAGATGTTAAAGCATAAATCAAAAGCTCCTCGCAACCAAAGTCTGGACATCACAAAGCTGACAAAGGTGTTGCACATTTTTACAGAGCATGGCTATTTCAGTTCTTTAAATATCAACTGGGAAATCCATCTACAACTTTCCTGACAAACATTAATACAGGATCACTTACTTTAATAATTAGGGTTACATCTGCAATTCTACAGAGTCTAAATAATGGGGGGTTCTGACCATCCGTTCCATGGCTAACTAGGCCTAGTTAGGTGGCTTAAACCATGGAGATGAAGGTTAGATGGATTTCTACACAGTCATACCATCGGGCTTCCGGGATTGAAACTACCCCCAAGATGATCAGATACACAAATAGGTCTCCTTGACTTTAAAACTGATTCAATTTAAACACCCAGCATTGAGATCCAGTACCTCAAACAATTAGACGGTATACATCGGTATGCTAACACAATTCCTTCTCTAAGCCAAATAAAGGAATTAGGCATGCTGGGAAGATTCTTACTTGACCCTGGTTTGATGTCGTCTTCGACCCTCTGGTTCAGAAAGAATTAGTTAGCTGGCATCTCAGTGCTGAGTGATACATTGCCCCTTACAGACTGCCATATGAAAGGATGGATAATGGACAGAATTTCAGCCATAATGGGGATAAAATTCACTATAATGACATATTATTTGAGGCAAGTGAAAAGAAAAAGTTGGATTTGTTTATGAATATCCCCTGACATTAAAAACCATCACTTTACAGCATCTAAAACAAGGCACAGAATTACACATGATCTAAACAGGAATGTGAAACATAATTTAGAAGGAAAAAGCGAGTAACGCCCTGCAATCATTTCTGTCTTCAACTTATTGATTGACATATGCAAACAATACCTCTTTCTCCTCCTCTGTCTTCCCATGAGTTTTGCTATAGTTGATAGGAGTGTCCCAGCCCTCTTGATCACAAAGAGCCTGGTAGAATGCTGCATTGACCAGAATGCTGCTTGTTTTGAATGGGGAAGAGGAAGGAGTTGGGATAGAGGTGTTAGAGGAAGTCAGGGGTGCAGCCTTGTCCAGGATTCGATTTTTTTTCATGCTTAAGTCCAATGTGCCATTTTCATCCACTTCTATCTCGGCTCCCTGGTGTACAATAGGAAACAGAGAAACGTTTAAGCAGTTTGCAGTTATAACCGAACCATGTGGGGCTTTTAAAGGATAATTTTAAACGTAAGCTTTTATGTAAGTATATCTGCTTTTAAACCTAGCTTTCTGATGGGCACTGGGTGATGTTCAATTCTTAGGCGGACTTTTAAGAACAACCCCATTAGTGAGCTTTGTGTTTCTGGTTTAAACAAAGTAAGCTTAATGTAAATAAGATGCTCCAAATGCTAAATGTATTGGCTAAAGCAGTTTTATACATATACATATATATATATATTAAAGTTAAGCTTTACATCTTCTTTTCTACTTTACAGAATTATCACTCTCAATTCATCATTTAAAGTATTAACATTTGTGTTTACCAAAAGGCATATATTGAACTTCCCACCCCCCCCATCACAATATTAATCTCACATGAGAAGTATGCAAAAATAATCAGCTGGAAGAGAATTTTAACTGAAACATTAGACTAATATGAAAGCAACATTTCCCCTAGGCTATTGGAAGTTGAAAAGCCTTGTTAAATTGTGGGGGGCTGGGAGGTGGTGACGAACAGTGCAAGCCACACTTCACCCCGGGGGCCTTTGGGTAGCTAGCTGACAGCATGACCGTGTAGGGTTTAAGTCCTATAGTGAAAACGAGAATACTGTAAAGGTGCTTATTTTCCAGATACTTAGTAAGTGTGAGACTTATAAATAATTCCATCTCACAATGTTTTTTTCTTGGGATACCTTTGCAATTTTTTTTTAAAAAGGGAACCTCATTCTGTATTTGGTTCAAGTCCCAATAAATTGCTCATGTATTCTGGATCTTCTACAAGATTCACACTGTAGGATGGTTTCTGCGGTATCATGAGTTGTGAACACTACCAAGCAATAACTCTCAGAAGGTGGGAAGAACATGCCTGCAATTTTCCAAAATGGGTCCCCTAGCACCTTTCTGGTATTTTCACCATCGTCCATCAATTTACAATCAATTTCTTGACAATTTCTCTACTCTTCTTTTGACTGGTGAGTCTGTCTCGAATAGGTTACCTTGCCATGTATGGTAAACAGTTACTTCCCAGGGGATTTATTTGAACTCCCCCTTTGCCCCCCATTCCGTCTCCCCTCTCCCAGCCCTCAAACAGGTGCCACTGAGCTGTGGGCTGTGCTAGCTGGGCTTGCTGCTTGCGCTTGATCTAGAAAATAAAAGCACCTCTTCTATTTGCTTGTTTTACCTGCAAAGTTCATATTTTCAATCTCTCAGCCTATGAGACGGATATGCTTTACTACATTTGTGGGAGGTAAATACACTTCTGATATGTTGTACTAAGATGCTTTGGCCGTATCTTTCTGTCCCTTTTTAGTAAATAGTTTAATCTCTCGTGATAGTTTTAAGCCCTGAATTTGGCAGTACAGCTTATCCCGGATAATAACTTAGTAACCACAACATCTTATGCCATCTGTATAATATCAAATACGTTTTTATACCAGCATTAATAAACCTTAGTTACAAAAATCCAAGATATTAACCATATCAGTGCCACGTGTGCTATCTCTCCCCATGATCTCACAACGTATTCCTGCCAGGAGCGCATCAAAACAATTTTTGGCTTCATAGCTGATATGTAAATAGCAATGAAACAGAGCTATAGTAATCAAGTTTAATGGCCAACGTAAAGTAAAATGCTAAATATTGTAGTTACTGACATTTTTCATAAAAAAATAAAAAAATAAAAACTTGGGTTAAGACTGCACAACCAACATTCACATAAAATTCCAGACCTCTGTGACAGATGGCTTAGGAAAAAGAAGCCATGTGACTGGGCTGCAGAGTTTTATAGTGCAAAACCCATAAATAGTGCAGATTCAATCTCTCTGAAAAATATCAACCCTTCCAAGACAATACTAATATGTATGTTTTCGTTTTTTCAGACGAAAATGCTAAGTAGTGACTTAAAACAATGAACGAGTCTAGGAGTTGTTATGGTTCTACACCTTGAGTGATCGGGGCTCGGTTGGAAAACAAAAAAATCACTCTTAATGTTGAAAAGAGGCGCTTTTCTATGTCCTGCGCCCGGGCACCTGACTTCACTGGGAGAGCGCGGTGAGACTCACAGGGGAGCAGGGTACAGATGGGCTTTAAGTGAGCGCACAGATGCCTTCAGCAATTACATGCAGTACCAGAGAAGAGTCCCTTTCTGCCCATAGATGGGGAATCACACGTTGACAGCACAGCCTTTTTATTCAGAGCACTATCTGTCGGTATCACTTCTGTATGTGCTTGAGACTCCAAATGGCAGCGCAAAACAGAGGGGGGGAAGGGGGTGGGGAGGGGAGATACAGCTGATAGGGTCCCTCCCACCACAGACTTCTAATACTTGGATTTCCTCAAGACTCTCTTTAAAAACCTTATTTTGAGTATTTAAATGTTAAGTTTTTTTGAGGCTAGGTATAGGTCTACTGCGATCGGTGTTCTTTCCAACTTAGGTCAGAAACCCAAGGCCATCTATTTCTCTACTTTTGAATCACTGATGCTACCCGCATTTTGTTTACTCATTAAATTACTGAGAAAGTACTTTATATTTTCAAGAAACTACATTTGGGGGAGAAAGACATTGAAAAATAGATCATTTCTGCCTTCAAGGAGCTTAGTTTATGCATATGGAAGATTTTTGGTGAAAGATAGTTTCGTAAGCTTACTATACATTATAATTAAACGGAAAGTTAAAATAATTACTAATTATACTCTTTATCTGTACTATAAGATAAGAAGTGAGCTAGATGTCCACCAACAGAGAAATACATAACGAAAATATACTACCCCCATTGACTGGCATATTTTGTGTTCAGGAAAGTGATCATTAGAAGGACTGTTCCTATACAGGAAATACTCATGTCACCGAAAGCAGGAAACAATATGGCATCCCTACAAAGCTTACAGCTAGGGAATATAAGATGGAAATTCATTTTCGGGAGAAGAACAAAAGGGAAAACACAAGAACTATTGTATGTCCTTGTATTTAGAGAGTAGACCCATGGCTACTTCTGTTATTTCCCAGGCAAATGATAATATTATATTGTTTCAACAATTAAAAATGATCGCACATTCAAAGTCGGTGATAAAATAAAAACCAAATTATCATTTACCTTAAATGTTCTGATCGTAAGAATTGTTAATTTTCCGAATATTGACAAAACAAGACAGCACTGTTTTCCTTGGCAAGCTTTCTATGAATATGGGAGAGGTGACCTGTCGTTTTTTCCTTTTTGACTTGGCTGAGAGAAAGTGCAAAACTAAGTGTCCTTTTGACTAGGTTTCTCCCATAATTAGCCTCTGGCTTTCATTTCACAGTTGATTTTTTTTTTTTTTCATTTCTGCTTCAGGGTTTTTTTGGGGGGAGAATCTTTTCTGTATTGAAATCTATCTTAAATATGTTTCAAGAGTAGGCAGGGTATTAACAATAAACACATGAAAAGAAGATATCTTATTCTTACTAAATGGTAATTGAGTATTCAGACTGTTATGATGATAAACTTGTGAAATATGCTAAGTATAAGTAGATTGATAAAATTCAGAGGAGAAATGACTGCCACAGATATAAAATCTAAATGAAATTTATGACAGCTTCCCCCAAACTCCTTAGGGCTTGGAATCATGGCCTGTGAAAAGTCTTGGGTTGGTTGGCATTTCAAATGTCATAAGATCTTTAGGAAGAGAAGTCAGGCAGGCATTCATTCAAATTTCATTTCCAACAGTTATAGCTGTGTCACTCAGAGAAAGTCATTTAACATCTCTGTACTACTGTTTTTTTTAAATGTGAAAAATAGGGAAAAAAATCTCTGTTTTCCAGAGATACTAGAAGGGTTGAAAAGGATTAATGTAAGCAATATGCTTATTTCCAGGGTCTGGCACATAGTAGGCATTTCATAAAGGACAGCTAATAATCACAGCAATTTGACCGAGTTTGTGAATTTCATAAAAGACATTTTCCTAGGTTCTTCTTCATAAGGAGCCAGTTATTAGACATCTTTCCTATGTGCCTGTCAATCAGTTCCTTGTGATCCCTGACCCAAGACCCTCATAACATTTCACTCAAAATATGCGGTGTGATCTGTTCAGTATTAAAGTTGCTGAAAAAGGCAGCTTTGGGGTTCTAACCACCCAGGGGATCTCCAGACTCTTCCTGGTATCAGGCAGCAAGAATGACGATTCGACATCAAGTTGTTTCTAGGCCTTATTCAAGCACAAAACAGACTTTGAACTTTAAACATTTCAAGCAAGTGTCAATTTTTTGTTTTCTTTTAAGGCACACTGTGCATATGCCACTTTGTCTAAACAGGTGGGGAAAACACCAAAACAAACAACAGAATGCTTGGCAAGCAGCAGCGATGAGGATAAAGATAGACTGCGAGGCCTGTTCCTACCTCTGGTGATCAGGGTGGGAGGGAGAAAGAAGACAGGGAGTATATCTGACTTGGGCTGGCACCAAAGGCAAGTGCTCAAGCAAACTCAGGGGACCCAGGATGCTGGCTCCAGCTAGACTGTGCTGCGTGCTGTGTAGCTCTGTCCGGAGTCACAGGGACCAGAAGAAAGGGGAGATGTCTAAACGGTGGTCCACTTGCATCTCACAACATATATTACACTCGATCTTGGCCAAAAGACCAAGAAGCAATACCACATATATTAATTCAGAATTGAAATAAAGGATAATATTCACATCTTAGAACAAATGAAAGTTCTAGAATCCAAAGAGAGTTAACACTTCAGACAAAATTACCATCAGCCATTGTGTTATCCACCAAGTACTGATAGCATTCGTTGTTTTCTCTTAATTCTCAAACAGATACTTAAAACATAGACAGGTGATTTGGGTGGTACACACGTGTTATATACGTGCCGGGTTATATTTTAACAAATAAATAATTCCTTTGAAAAACCTACCTTCAGGAGGTAAAAGACTCTGGTCTGGAGGTTGCTCAGTAATGTCAGACCAGCACTGGAGCCCTCAGAACAAGGCGTGGCGTATGTCTGGCACCTGGAGGCCGCTCATTGAGTGACCGGATGACCATGGAGAGCGGCATGCGCCTTCAGTGTTAGGGCTCAGCAGATGAGTGACATGTTTTAGTGTTGAGGCCAAGAGATTTTGAAAGGAGAAGCACATTTTGGAATGTCCATACCGTCCTTCATTATGTTTAGAGTGTGTGGAAACTCAAAGTTTTCTTGCCCCTCTGAAAACAACCTCGGCTCCTGTGATCTTCTGCAAGAGTGGTATTTTTGCAAATTCAGATCTCCCACTAAACTTGGAGTCAGCTGTGTCCTTGCACACAGCATGAGAAAAAGCTACATTAGTCCCCACAAGTGGGCATGAAGGTAACCCAAGATTAGTGTGCTTTGGCTTGATTTTTAAAATATCTTGTCCATGGCTGACAGTATCATCAGTAATTCAGATCTGTAATTCTTCTATTGGGTGCTTTATGCAAATGAGGGACGTGTGTTGTGTGAAAGAAAGAACTGGATGGGAGCAGAAGGAAAGAGAAAAAATCAGCCCTCACCCAGCTTCTGGTCAGACTTCCTGCCAATCTGCCCACACCTGCCCTGGACACAAGGGATCTCACCTCCTCGAGCCTCACTCTCCACCTGAAGACAGGTAAGGCAGAGACGGCTCCCCGAGGGTCATTTCTTTCCCCCTACTTTGTTGTTAAGCTCCTTGAAGGCAAGGTCTGTGACTGATGCTAACCTGTGGCTTAGAGACCTTTTGATGGTTCACCTAAGAGTCCGTCTGCCAGGATGTCTCTTCTCAGACATCAAAATGCTCGGCTGCGGAAGTCTAGAAAGAGTAGGGTAAAGCTGTACATCTCTACCTTCTTATTTCTAAATAAGAAGCTCAAGAGACCTATGGGTTCGGGGTATCGGAAATAAACACACTGACAACGTGCCATGGAAGAAAACATCAAATCACAGTGCAAAAAGAATCAGGTATTCCGAGTGGAGATGAAGACCATTTCCGCTTCATCCTAGGTCAAGTAAAAGGCACAGAGCAAAGTGCAGCCCTGACGGTGGGAAGGAAAGCCCTATGTCACACACTTTCGATCAGAGGCCATTTTCAGGGCTAGTTACCTCAGCCTTTTCTCACTTTTGCTATAACAAATAATATATGTTCTTTCGGGAAGTGATGAGATTCTCAACTACAGTAAGAAAATAGGATCTGACTGGGATAGAATTTTAGAAATTGCTGCAATTGTGTGCAAATGGACATGTGTGCACATGCACTGTCAGAAGGATTCTGCACACAGTGACATTCTAGGGCTATCCCTAGATCCTATTTAGCGACCGCTAGGTCAAAGGGGACAATTGATACGGGAAAAGGGTTTGTACAACTCCTGACATGAGAAACTTCTTTGAAAAGTCGATCCGTGCGCTTTCTGTCTCTTCCGGCCTCATCATCACAGCGATTGTTTGGCTTCTGCGGCGAAGGCTGGGTTGGCAGGGACAGGCGGGGTGCACAGCGAGGCCCTGTCACCTGGGCATGCCGGGGGAGCTCTGCGGAGCAGCCCTGGCACATGGTGCTCCTGACTGGAGCGCACGGACACAACCCACTGGAAATCGATGATCTGGATTTTGGAAATGTGTCCACCTGACAACGGCTTTTGTTTTGAAAAAGAGGAACCTATGTCGACAAGGAGAAGAAACTCTCCAATTTTAGCCATCTTTGTCTGATTCATTATTTGGTGTCAGCAATTTAACAGAACGTGGAACATCTAAAGGTTCCAGGCAGAATTCTGAGGAACAGGAAAACACCTCCATGTGCAGGTAGAAAGCATTTCTTTCTAGAATCATTTACTCAAATAATTTAAGTAACATTAGTAATTATAATATTTGCATTTCTGTACTCATAGGACAGCCTGAGCACTCAAATAATAAGGCCCTAAGAAGGAAGATATTTTAGTGTTTCTCCAACTGGGTACTTACTGGAATACTCTTCCAAAAAGGAAAAAACATCAGATTTTAAAACATGAATTTAGAAATAACTAAGGTTGCATTTGAACATTCTCCAAATCATTCATCTATATAAATAATGTGTGCCTAGGAGTCCTTTGAATTTGGATAGCTTGATGAAAAAAATTTTTTTTAAGAGGACGTGTTTTTCTTTGTTTAAGAACCTCATTTGTTTAAAAATTGTTTTTGAGTGATTTTTGGCCACCAACTCTTCCTGGGGCTTACTTGGCTCGGCTTTGTCCAGAAGCTAATTCTGATTCTTCTGTCAAATGCTCGGTGGCACTGTGTTACCTGCTCTCCTGAAGGTTTGGCACAGCACAGACGAGCAGCTGACCACGCCGGGGACCGGCCACACTTAAAGGGGAAAAGAAGAACTGTGGGCTTCAACTATCCAGGTTTCGGGGTTAGCGTTTAACTCGGGGGCTCATTCCACTTAAAGCAAGGGTAGCCTTTCTTCTCCAAGAAGTCTGGGCACTTTCTTTCAGCCGGCTTCAGCCATCTAGGTAGGGAAATGATTTCTTTGCTAAAAGCCCTCTGCATCAACAGCTCCAGCTGATTGCAGGCACAAATGGCTGAGCAGCTCTTATAAGTGCCTCTGCGGATCACCCTTACTCCGTGGCACCGTGGACCCTTCCCTGCCAAGGGGCACACGGGATCCTTGGATTTTTGTTTTTATTGAGTTCCTTCTCATTGTCCGTTGGAAAGGAGAGGAGAGGTTATTGAAGGAATGTGATTAATTTCATGGCCTTCAGAAACCCTGTGCTGCTGTAAACTTCACAGAATTCGATTTTGTTTGTGAATGCCCTGAGTTCTCAGCCTTTCCCGAATCATCTTCTGTTGATTGAACGTATTCAGGTTTTACTATGTGTCCTTGGAGAACTACAGCAACTTAGACTATCTTATCCTGTACAATAGGGGCATATGCCATCATATAATTTCGTGGGTACATTTCGCAAACGTTTTGCAGGTCACCGTTTATTCAAACATGTCTTACCATCTTTGGTGCGCAGACACTAAAAAGCACCCGCTGTTGAGACTATTTTACTAGCAACCCTCTTTTCCTGTGTGCCAAATTCCCCATCACAAAAATAGCTCTGCGATCTATAAATTTCCCCAACCAGACTCCTGAACTCATCTACCCTCAGAATTTGGTATGCCCCCTTCGCGAAGGGCCACAGAGCAAGAAAGGCATGTTTCCGTTCTTCCTTGAACCCACCGAGCTCGCCCCTGCCCACGTCCCTCTGAATCCCTTCCTGAGACAGGGAGGGGACTGCTTCAGGGGTGGGGGCAGCAGAGCGGTAGTGAATGTGGTTAGGAACATGAAAGGCGGTTTATTCTCACGGTTCAGTCGCCGGCCCACCCTCCGGGCTCTTGGACTGGCCTACCTTGGCATGCAGACTCTGTGGTTTGTTGGAGAGGATGTCTGTGGCTTCCCTGCAGCGGGTGGAAAGGTTCAGGATGGCAGCAGCTGCTGCTATGTGGGTGTCTTCACTACATTGACCGTAGCTATAAGAGCTGGCACGGCTCGGGCTCTGTGTGTGGGCGCCTGCACTAGGCAGTCGGTTAGGAAATTTCACTGGATTTGAAAAATGCTTTGCTGTTGAAGAGAGATTTGATTAGCAGTTGCATGTACGTGGTTTTCGCCGTTAAATAGATTTGTTTTTTAAGATATAACTTCTTGCATTAAAATATGTGACGAATAAATTAACACACAATCCATTATCCATCAACACAATAGGTGAAGGTTATTTAGCCTGGTTTTCATGGAGATTCACAGATCAAATGCTGTGATTGCTGGGAGCTAATGCTTATTTTCTTAATACTTTTTGTATTTACACTTCTCATGACAAAACTCCATCACCAATGTTATGGGGCAGGTGCACTGGCAACATTTGGGGTAAAAATTGCAGATTAAAAAAAACCACACTAGCAAAACCCATCAGGGGCTGCAGAGAGCTACGGCATGTCCATCTGAAAACTGCGTATGTGTGAAGACCAGTCATTCCGGTAGAGAAAATAATCTGTCCTTTCAATGTTTGTTTTCACTGTAACGATTTACATTTTGGCATGGAACTGTATTGTTATTATTTGATATGTGGGTTTGTTTTGTGCTTAAATCAGTAGACGTCGTTTGTCATTCAACTAGATGGAACCAAATAGGTGGCAGAGTCTCGAATTAGCTAGATCTTTGCATAATCAGGGGAGCAAGAGAAGCAAAGGACAGGGCGGAAGTGTTCTCAAGGTGAACAGAAAGGCAATTTAGTTAGCAAGGCTGAGTTTCCACTTTATGTTTCTGTTGTGGGTACCAAGGCACTACTGAGAGATGGAATTAAACATATTTCTCTTCACTCTGGGGTGTTCGTAAACATCACTCAAGGTTACAGGAGAAACACCCAAGATTTAATGGGAGCTAATATAAAAACATTTAGCTATGTATGTTGTATTAATACGGTTTATTTTAAACATTTAATTCTTACTTTTTATAAAACAAAATTTAAAACATGACCAAATGTCATTTATATAATTACAAGAATATGCAAATGTCGTCGAATGTTTTGTACTTTTAAAAAATCAATAACCATACTATATGCACATAGACTGTTCTTATTCAATAGCTTCACCTGAATTGAACATATATGTATGTGTGTATATTGTATGCATATATATATATACACTGCATATATGTGTGTGTGTGTGTGTGTGTGTGTGTGTGTGTGTGTGTGTGTGTATGTATACACTCACACACATACAAAATTGTATGACTAGAGAGATGCAAAATATTTTGTGTGTATTACGATTTTTTTTTCCCTAACTCTAACAGTTGTTAGTAGTTATTTACATGCTGGGACCTATTTTTGATAAGAATAGGTAAATATCCTTTGGAGTATAATGGACTGCTCACTGATGGGCAAATTCCTTTCAAGTCTGTTTATCTATGGCTGGATTTTATATGGCTTCCTAGTTCTCTGAAAGAGTTGATTAACACCACACAATAAAGCAAATATTCTGTGTTTATAAGAATGGCCTGGTATAAGGAGCCTTCAAAAGTGTTATAAAGAATTTGTGGTCTGTGAGGACTCAAAGTGGGGCATTATTTAGCCTCTTCATTTATGGAAGTGAAGTTATCTAATGCATAAATCAGTTCCTATATTTGTCCCCGATATTTACTTTCTCACCTTTTCCTTTGAATATTTAAGAACTTAAACAACCTGAAGAAATGTGTAAGTAAAAACTCCAAGTTTTATATATTATACCATCTTTCCATAGTTTCAATAGGAGTAAAAATTACTGTATTACAACAGCTATCAGATTTTTCAATAAATTAATTCTAATTTCTGCTAAATAGGAATCCAGTATTTCTTTAGAATTATTTTTTTGTTTTTATAAACAGTCTTATTGCAGCAAAGGATTATTGTATTTAGAATAAACAGTTGCATCCTATTTGCAGAATAATTAGTCTATTAGCTATTCACTATGTTCTATATAACTTTAATATAAAATCAGTAACACCGATGAACTCATTGTTTTCCTTATTTTATTTCACTGTTCAATAAATTTTCTCTCCTCCCAGTTGTAAATAGCATATTATGAATTTGATTACACCTCCCACGGCCCCAGACACACACGCATGCACCAGGTGTATTTTGGGGAAATATGTATTAGAAGCTTACATTCAGGAAATGGTGGTGTTTTTCGTCCTTGTCCTGTTTGTACGAGGGGGCGTTTACCAAAAACTTGGGCATCAAAACTGGCATAATCAAATGGTACTTTTCCAAACTTCTCTTGTTCTTTTGACACTGTGGCTCTGGAAGAGGTGATGGCTTGTGATCTGAAATTGAATTCAATTTGCTTCACCAAGCTTGTCCTGGAGAGAGGGGGAAAGTAATGAAAAAGAATTGCAATAAAACTATCAATGAGCATATTTGTGTCAGAATTTATAGAAGACAGACATGTTGCCGCCTGCAGGTACCCACAGAGACACTGCACAATAAAAGAAACTGGGCCACAGCAGGACACAGCAGAGTGCTTTGGACCAGAAGTGAGAGATGGAGAGATGCTTGGACTCTGCGTGACTATGATATGATGCTGCATATCCTGTGTCCCAGTCTCCCATCAGCGAATCCGGAATACGCAATCCTGCGTGCATCTTATGAAGATGTCACGAGGAATGAGTATTCAATGTTTATTAACCTTTTGAGATCTTTGAGAAAAGTTCCATGTGTCTATCAAGTAGGCATGGGTTAAGGCACTGACAAGGTGTGCCCATTCTCTTTGTTAGGATTGTTAATCAGATAAGCAGTGAATAGTCACCATTGTGACTGGCGAGGGAATGTCCAAAACAGTGATGCTGAGCTCGGCTCAGCTCTGCTGAGTTGGCAGAAGTCTGATGCCTGAGGGGCAGTGCAGCCACCAGAGAGTTGATTCCTGAATTGTTTCTTTCAGAGTTGAGCAATATTAAAAATACATTTTCTTTCATTTTCCGTCAAAACATGCCCAACTCATTGGCATGTCAAAGTTTTCAATGACATTTTCTGGATTAGGTAAAAGACATTTTAGTTGCTACATACACATATTTGAGCCACTAGTTGATCTTATTATTGTGCCCGCAACTTGGTTTAATAACCCTAAAGCTGCATAACTGCTCCAACCTAAAACAATACTAATCTTTTAAGAAATGAGCAAAATGAAACTTGATGTTATTTTTAGATCTGACAGATAACTTACTGGGGGGGGGGGAACTAGAGAATATAGCAGTACCAACCAAAAATCCTATTTTAAGATTTTTAATTGCTACTTATTCAGTAATTCATGATTTTCACTCAACATATGTTTCCCACTCATGTGATCTGAATGCCAATTTTGACTCTTAATTAAATCTATAGAAGCAAAATATTAAGGGAAGCCCATATATAATGAAGTGCCTAATGACAGTTTCTGTATTTCAGTGACTCTATAGCAAGAGTTATCTGATCATCTCTCTTAATTCTGAAATCGCTTTTCCTACATATATGATTTTTCTGGTAATAAACATGTAAATTTCACATTAAACGTCACCATACATACTTCATTATTTAGGCATAAGATCTTCCAGACTTCTAGACATCATGAAGAACCTGGGAGTTAGTAGAACCAACAGTATTAATAGCTATGGAATTAATAGCTCAATTATGGAATGAGTATTTGTTTTAATGACACGAAATGCATATGTGTAACTGAAGGTTGAGTATACCACATCACATGTTTTGAGAAGGTATGAATGACTGATAATGGCAGAAAGGTGAAGTCCATCATCAAGGGGGCCACATTTGACTCTTGGATGCGTTTAGTGACTCAGAATTTTGACTGACATGTGTGATGGTATACTTAATTCTTGTAGATCCACCTACATTAGGATACCTTTGCAAGAAGACACATTTCAAGTTAAACTTCTGGAGGGCTTACTAGCTCAGTTGAATGATGATGTCATGAACTAGACGAGCCTCTCCAATGACTTGAGCACCCAAGTTTGTTGTCGACCGGGAATGGAGGTCAAGTCACAGTGAGGGGACACGCGAGGGACCAAAGGCCCTGCTGTGTAGGAGCTAGCACAGTGAGAGCATCAGGAATGTCGTGGAAGGTTCGTACCTGTGGGCTTGGTCAGGACACTGCCCGGTTTGGGAAGAGTCAAGCTGATTTTTATCCTGGGACATGGCCAACTTTTCAGCTGCAGCAATTGGACAACCAGAAAGACTGTTTAAAAGAAAGAAAAGCGGGAGGATTTGAGTTAAAATGATAATGTGATTTGCTTTGGCACGGGCCTCCCAGCACAGTTGGCATGCGCTAAATGTTAAGTCATATTAATAGTTCACTTAGCACCATTTGCGTACTGAAAGATCCCAAAGGGTTTTGTAAACTACGGTGTCAACACTTGTCCCCAGCCCCATCTCAGAAGTGAAAGGCAACAAACTCATTTTTGAAAATTAATAAGTATTACGTATAGGAGAAATAACTAGTAACTGACTATATATAACAGAATAACCACAGTATTTGGAAACTTCTTAATATTTTAAGTAGAATGTGTTTATTCCAACTGCAATGTGTCCAACTCTAGGAGTTAGCACGGTAACTCCATGATTTATCTTGGGATCTTTAAAAGAAAATTAGGGACAGAATTTTATATCTTGGTTGAAATTCAACCTGCAGAACATGACGTTTTCTGGCTTAATGCTTATAAATCAAATAGTTCCTCATAACCACACAATCTACTCATAAAATTTGGATGTAAAACAATCAGCATTTTCACCAAAAATATTTATATATACACAATACCTTTGCAATTAAATGCACATATATGTGTTTTATGTTAGTTGCAATCTCAATGAAATGATGCTTGATTTGCAGTCAAAACCATGGAAGTCCTTTTGGTACCCTTTTAATGCCTACTGGATGAACTCCAAGAAAACCCACAAGCAACTCTTTTCAATGTCAAGACAGCAGCGGAGAAATTTCGGAGCAAAAGAGAGCATGCTCTGTTTGTGTGACCATAGGAATGTGTAACCCAAGCATCTTCAACTGCCATGCTTTTTCACGATCATAATTAGCTGTTTTTAGGACAGGAAATAATGAGGTCCTTTCTTTTGGACTGAGGACACGTTAAGAATATTTCTTATCTCAAACGGTAGCATATTTGATAGTGATGCGGTGATTTGCATCACACGCTGCCAACTCATTATTTTGTTGGGGGAAAGTTTGTCTCGCATTTTTACAAAGTAAGATGATTAGCATCGAATCAGAATTACCTCCTGTGTGTGTTGCGGTTGCTGTTCACATGACCCCGTCCTGTGCATCCTGGGGTGGGACACTTGAGCACATTCTCATGCATGGCAAGAACTAAGCACAAGATAGCACATGAAAGGGAAGAATAATTTACCAAAAATACATAACACATTCACAAATTTACTTCTCAATTTTATATTCAAATGACTTTAGTTACATAATCTACCATGCTCCCTCTCCATAGATATTCAGATGGAAACAAATGAGCACTTAAGAACTTCAGGAATTAAATCCAGCAACCTTGTTCAAGTTTTAATTTCTCTAAACTTCATGTTATGCTTACACTAGACTTAAATGAGACAATTCTGCTCATAGGTAACGTAAACTGGAAAACTCATAACCGTCCCTTCATGTGTATGTGATTTTCCTTGGGGAGTAGATAGAGCACGTTATTTGTCAAGTAGGTCTATTTTTCCCCCACAGTTTGAAGTTCGGTATCTAGTTTTCTTTCCTGAAGGATACAATTTTGAGTCTGTGTCCGTTCATTCCTCTCTTCGCTGTTCCCTATGGCCATCCAGTTATTGGCAAAAGAGTATGGCTGGATGAACAGTCAGAGAATCGGTCTGAATCCAGCAGGACAGTGCTGAGTTGATCAGAATGGGTAATTTGCAGAATCTCGCTCTTGAGAAGGGTTATGTTGGGCATTCCCCATTCTGCGATTTGTATGGCTTCAGGAGGTGTCTCAAAAAGTAGGCTCAAAAAGTATAGGCTGTAACGGATCAGTACTTAACAAGTTTCACCTCCAGTATCGAAGCTCACAGTGGGGCTGTGGGTGCCAAGAGAGACTGAGGCTTGCTCCAGTCCAGGACCCTCAACTGCTTATCCTGAGACAACCCCACGAAGCACGCGTTCCTGCTGTGAGGCAAGGCCAGGAGGACAGTGGCGACTACCCTGCTTCATGAAGGCTGACCGGTCTTGCACTTAAGGAAGCCATGCCTCCAGGTGAGACAGGCCCGTGGAGTCACACGGTGTCATAACCACGTCTTATTTTCTGTGCTCTGATGCTTTGACATCTGGGGCCTTGCAGATGGGACGCCAATTCCTGAGATGGCAAATGACTTGCCTACAAGTCCCCTTTAAAAACGCAAACCCACCATTCTGGAACCCACTGCCCGACCGCCTCCTCTGTGGGGCCCTCACACTCCAGGTCACCATTCCCCTGCCCAACTCACCCCAGGATCGGGCACAAGACAACTAGGGACAGCCCCAAGGCTCAGAGCCCACTGAAGTAAGACTGGTCAACCCCGAGCCTTCTGATCCTGCCTTATCAGAAGTCACAATGAGGCCTCTTGTGCACTATCCCTCTCACCGACCCCGGGGTTTCCCTGTCGGCCCCTTGCGGTGGACATGACGTCTCCTTTGGGAACTGGGAGTAACAAACGAGCTTTTCAAGGGTGGTGGTCCCTCGTTCTGTTGGTTGCACCTCAAATTTCCCCCCACTACACTATATTTTAAAACACATGGCGCGATAGAAATTGGCTTGACACAGAGAAAAGAATGTATTGTTTCCATTTGTAATTCCAAATTGGAAGTGGAAGACAACGTCGCGATGCCGAGACACACTTAAAAGACACCTGCTTCTCTTGGGGATGGGTGGTACTCACTTTCCAGAGGCACCCGCACCTTGTGGGGGCACCCCGAAAGGCTGCGGTGGTGGGGATAGAGCCCCGTCACGTGTCCTGTGCCATCACAGCCAGGGATGGGGCACTTGGTCTCCCTCTTTTCAGGCCTTGGTGAATCTACAGAGAAATTAAATTTAGAAATGCATTTGGTTATTCTTCCTTCCCTTTGCATTCAATAGAGTGGCCTTGCAGGGTGACATTCTCATTTTATTCGGTTTTACTGGCATAAACATTCTTCTCACATTGCCTTGAATAAGACCCTCAACCGAGACCTGTGGAAGCATAAAACATGTTTTCAATTTTCTTGGTTTCCTAAGCAAAGGCTGACACAGGGCAAGGGAGTGTTAAAATACAGAGAGGGTTGGAGTTGTCGTGTCACACATTGTAGTCAGGGCCTCATTATGAAAAATCAACCCCATGCCAGAGGATGCACGGGTTCCCGAAAAGAAAAAAAAAGTAAGAAAGAAAGGATGTATTTAAACCCACACCCTCTCTTGCTGAGAGAGTCTAGAAAGGGCCAGATTCAAAATTAGAAAACAAAAAGCCACCATATCTGAGAAAGGCCTCTCCGGCCTTGGCCCCAGGGGTCCCCGGGCTGGGAGAGGACCAGCCGCTCCTGCTTGCGAGAACAGCTGGCAGAGCTGGGACGAGGCAGCCAGGAGGCCAAGGGGTGCCCTGTCCACCTCATCGCAAGAGCTTTGCAGTCCCCAGATTCCAAAACCCCCGGGGGTTGCCCCTCGGAATCAACACACAGCGAGGATGGGAGGAAGAGGTTGATTTTCCTTCCAAATGCAGAAACGGAAAACTGAGGCACTGGCAAGATGGCTTGGATAGGAAATGTTCTTGAGGGAGACTTACAAAAAGTGGAAGGGCAAGGAGAGAAGCCTGCCTTCTCAGCAGGCTAGACCTTGCCACCAGAACACCAGCCGGGTGGGGCTCCAGGTGTCCCTGACTGTGAACACTTGGGGGATGGGGTGGGGGCTGAGGACAAGCTTTAGCATTTAATTTTCTAACACACACGGCCAAATGTTAGAGTTCTGTGAATGTATGAAATGAATGAAGAATCAACACAAATACTGATGAGGTTAGCGCCATCGTAGAGGAGGTCTTATGCGGTAGAAATGTTCCTATTTGTGATTGGGATGGCAGTCAAACTTTAAACACAAATGCTCTCGTATAACCAAATTTGTCCCCTAACTCGTGTTGGGAGAAACACCAGTCGCAGGGGAGAGTCTCTCTATGAGCATTCAAGGCTCCTAGACAGGGAGAGTGAGGAGAGACACAGAGGCCCCAGAGAGGGGAGCAGTGTGGCATGTCAAGAGGCTGCAGGAACCTCAGAACACGGGCATCAGGAGAAATGAACACGCTAGATGCTGAGGACAAAAATAAGCAGTGTTATCCTGCCCACGGAGCCGCTGGTGACAGAGCAGGGTGAAAGGCCCTGTGGCGGGAGGGTGCGGAGCCCCCCTATGCTCTTGCAGGAAGCGGTGCCCGCGAGCAGTCCACTGTCACGCCATGCGACAGACGTCTCCAGGACAGTGTATTGCGAGAGCAGACGTGCCTTGGTGACGTCACATCACCCCAGTTGCTGGATCATAAACTGTCCCGGGCAGATGGGACACAGCAGGTTGTGTGTAATGCAATTATATGGGGGCATGGTTTCCGCAGAAGGGGCGGAGCCAAGAATACTTCAAGTGGTGGCCTGTGCTGCCTTCGGGAGGGTCAGGAGACTGGGCAACGCGTCCTCGGGGAGCAAAGGACAGCTGGAAGACAGGGATGTGGCCCACGGTGGGCATTCGTGTTCAGGAGGGACAGGATCTGAATGCGGTGGTGTCGAGACTATTCTTTGTGTTTTGTAAGAGGCAAAGAGGCTCTATGATGTGATGTTCTATGATTGTGTGGATGTACATTTCATTGCATCCAAAACTAGTGCCACATTTCAAGTTGAGGTAGATATGTGACATCTGTACGCCACTAGCCCAAATCCTTGACGTCTGATTAAAGCGAATTGGGGAGAGTTGACACCGTAGGAGAGTAAGTGAGAGAAAGAAGAGCAACCATGTGTATTTTGACGCCCTTCCTCTTCTGGATCTGGTCCAGGCGAGGCCACATTTCTAAGCCACATTGAAAGGCTTGGCGTCGTGCATTTCCTCTCCTCACCACACTATTTGTCTACAGGAAGCCAGAGAGGGTGCTGGAGATAAGGCAGGGCTGGCACCTGCCCAGGTAGGGCCCACTGATGGTCCACCATGCCCCTTTGTCTGGAAGTCTCTCCTCTGCTGGGCGAAACAATGATGCAGACGGAATGCTCTGGAGGGCAAAACCTGTTTGCATGATAAGAAACCAGAGCATGAGCTCGGGGCGACTCGCAAGCCTGGCTCTTCATTTATTTTCTTTGCACAATGTCGCATAATGAGGGTGACCTTATACTCTGGTGATGTCGCATCTTGGCTTTCCAGGGACTGTCCTCATTCACACCTGGTGTGCGCGTGTAATTGTTCACATTGCTCTCCTTTGGGCAGACTGGGCAATAAATTGCACGGGGACGCTTATATGGCGACCCACAGTCTCACTAAATGCTTAGTCATAATAATATTGCCAAACTTGCTTTAGACTTGCGGATGCATCTAAAGGCTTGGGTAAAACACTGCTTTAGAATCCTAGCATTCGCTCCTTAACAGCGATGTTGAGTGTGTAAGGTGGACAGTATTTTGGAGAATACGGCTGTCAGTTGGAATGAGCACTGACTTAAAAGCATGGAACGCATGTCAGAGAAAAATAATTCCTCCTCTGTCGCTGGCTCCCGCGTCAGGAACAACGAGCAGAAAAGGACTCTGCAGGCATCCTCGAGACTAAGCTTATAGTATGTTCTTCACCTTCTTTACCTGTTTGGTACTGGCCTGTCTGTATCTTCAAAGGCTGTTCCTACCTAGGGCAGGACCACGCCCTAAGCACTGAGATATACTACTGGCTCATGCAACCCTATTAGTAACTAGGTAAGTCTGCAACTGGTCCAACATTTACAAATGCGGACCTTATGACCTCGTTAATTTTGAAAGGTTTTAAAATTTCTATAAAAATAACCAAAGGATCATCAAGTATCTTAAGCAATGGCTCAAATAAATAAAAGCTTCTCCAAATACTGGATTTCTTGACTGTAAGATACCACATCAGTTGTCAGAGGAAACATCATTTTATGGGCTATTAAGAAAGAAAAATCAAGCCAGGCTCGGTGGCTCAGCCTGTAATCCCGCGCCTTTGGGAGGCTGAGGTGAGTGGATTGCCTGA